TCTAGCCAATCAAACGGCCGTGTATGCTGGGAGAGACAGACCGCAGGTCATTTCCTCATATTCCAAAACATGGAGGAGAAATTAGCGGTAGCGAATCAATCACCCGGTGCTTTATGACCAGACCTACCGGGATATAAACCGGAGGAGCCAGGCATGGAGGGAGGTGGCAGAGACAGTGGTATGTTTTCGCCTGTTTTGGGGAGTTTATATCCAGTTTACTTCGGGCTTTTTGGCTTCATATGTCGCGGGCGGGAGATTCATGTGATTGGTTGATCGCAAAACAATCCCCAAGCCTCAGATACGCCCACCTCCAAGATTTTTTTAACGCTGCCGTGGAGACGGCCCGTTACGATCGAGGTCGGTGCAGCTGCCGTACCAGGCCGTCATGCTGCCAGTCAGGATACTCTCTATCGTGCACCTGTAGAAGTTGCAGAGTATCCTGGAGTCCATTTTGAACCTCCTCAACCTGCGGAGGAAGAAGAGCCGCTGTCGAGCTTTCTTGGTGATGGTGGTGGTGTGAAGAGACCATGTCAGGTCCTCAGTGATGTGGACCCCAAGGAACCTGAAGCTTTTGACTCTCTCCACCGTAGTCCCATTGATGGCGATGGGGGCGTGTCCCTCTCCCTGCTGCTTCCTGTAATCCACAATCAGCTCTTCTCTTGTGCCTTAACCTTTAAAGAGTCCTCTCCTGCTGATATTCAGGTGTATATCAGTATATAGTGTCTCTACTTTAAAGAGTCCTATCCTGCTGATGTTCAGGTGTATATCAGTATGTAGTGTCTCTACTTTAAAGAGTCCTCTCCTGCTGATGTTCAGGTGTATATCAGTATGTAGTGTCTCTACTTTAAAGAGTCCTATCCTGCTGATGTTCAGGTGTATATCAGTATGTAGTGTCTCTACTTTAAAGAGTCCTCTCCTGCTGATGTTCAGGTGTATATCAGTATGTAGTGTCTCTACTTTAAAGAGTCCTCTCCTGCTGATGTTCAGGTGTATATCAGTATGTAGTGTCTCTACTTTAAAGAGTCCTCTCCTGCTGATTTCCAGGTGTATATCAGTATGTAGTGTCTCTACTTTAAAGAGTCCTCTCCTGTTGATGTTCAGGTGTATATCAGTATGTAGTGTCTCTACTTTAAAGAGTCCTCTCCTGCTGATGTTCAGGTGTATATCAGTATGTAGTCTCTACTTTAAAGAGTCCTAACGGTCTCTGAGGTGTTTCAGAGGTTTTACTGAATCAGACAAACAGAAACAGATGAAGGTAAACTTTAATGTCGGTGCAGTAACATCTGTAACTTCACAAAGAAAACACACACATGCAGAGAAACAGTTACACAACAACAACAACAACAATCGCATATTCACAAACATCAGAATAATAACAATAAATATTCAGTCGCACAAGTACCAAAAACTGAAACACATCATAAATACAGGGGGAAGGGCAGAACTGCACTGTGTACTCTGCAGTGTGTAATCTGTTTACTCTGCACTGTGTACTCTGCACTGTGTACTCTGCACTGTGTACTCTGTAGTGTAGTGTGTACTCTGCAGTGTGTACTCTGTGTACTTCCTGTTTGTTTATTAGTTTGACTTTATACAGTGGCTGTTAGCATGATGACACGTCTTTATTATTAATATATTTTATTGTTTATGTAGAACCGGGACACCCGGGGTCACCTGGGGGCATACTTGCCAACCCTCCCGATTTTCGCGGGAGACTCCCGATTTCATTGCCCTCTCCCGGTTTCCTCCCGGGGTCATATTTCTCCCGCATTTCTCCCGATTTCTGACCAAATCAGATTTACTCAGGACTGTTTCCACTCGGACTTTAATACAGCTACACCATTGTTTGGTTTCCATGGTAGCGTAGCACGCGCAACTGAAAGTCTGAGAGGGTGAGGAAGATAGTCACAGCAAACAGAACAAGAATCGACAATTCTACCCTCTGCTCACTCCTTTCCTGTAAAATACAGGTCCAGCCCACACATATGGTGCTACAGGCCGCAAGGCAGTGCACTTACAACTACAATAAGCATGTTAATGTTAATCTAATACAGCTCCGGCGATCCACCCCCCCCCCCCCGCGGTGGGTTTTGGAAATGCTCCCGATTTCTGAGGTCTCAAGGTTGGCAAGTATGCCTGGGGGTCACCTGGGGGATTAAGTACCGGTCAGTGTGGATCAGTATCACACCAGTTTAAACATTATTACCTAACCCTGCTCTGTGGGTTAGCATTAGATTAGCCTGTTAGCAGCTAACTGTAGCTACCAGCACTAGTCACATGACCCTCGTCATTCTCACGGTTCCGATCAACAGAACAAAGGGGGACCTTTTAAAGAGTTGCACAGGCCAGGAGTCCAACAGCTTCCTGTCAGGACACAGTTTACAGTCGTACCAACGAGCAGGAAGCGGGGAGTTTCTTAAGGGACGGACCAGGAGAGTTTCATCATCGTACCGACATCTCTGAGAGCTACCGTCAATCCAGCTAACATGCTAACAGGTGTAGCTCTAGTCCAGGTTAAAGTTAGCCTGCCGGCTGTTCATAGTCCACGCAAACAGTTAGCATGTTGGCTAGTTGCAGTTCAGTCAATGCATTAGCATGTTGGCTAGTTGTAGTTTCAGGGAACAATTTGTAGTGTTGGCATGTTAGCTGTAAATTAGCATATAATGAAGCCAGGTACCATGTTAGCATTCAGCACGTCAGCTGTTGGTAGGACATCAGTTAGCACGTTAGCTCTTAGTTAGCATGTTAGCTGTTGGTAGGACATCAGTTAGCCTGTTAGCCGTTAGCAGAGCAGCAGCAACTCGTCGTCACTGCTCTCCGTCTTCCCCCCCCGGCAGGCGTCTGGGATCAGGGCGGTGTGCACAATCCCACAGTGTTCACAAGGCCCGACGTTACCACGGTGATGGTGGGGGTCGTGGCTTGTGCTGTAGGAGGGGTGTGGCTCCAGGAGCGGCTGCCTTACGTCCAATGAGGAGGAGGAGGCGGAGTCAGAGTCTGAGACGGGGATCAGCAGCTCCACGTCTTCTTCTTCTTCTCTGTTTCGCTGCTCGCCGGCCTCGGCTCCGCCCCTTCCTGTCTCCAGCTGGCGCAGAGGGCTGTGATTGGTCCAGTCCTGCGGGCCGGTCCTCAGACGGCGGGCGAGGCGGCTCAGGTTCTGGGCCAATCGCTGCAGGGCGGAGGGGGGCGGGGCCTCCGGGGCGTCGCCGTGACACTCGGGATCAGGACCAGAGGTTACCGCGGCGACGGGGCTGGAAGGGGGCGCCGCCTCCCGGGTCCGGGCACAGACCGGCGTCAGGGTGACTGGGGGCAAAGACGTCGTCACGGAAACCACGGCCTCCACACCAGCTGATGGCGGGGTCTTCTGAGGGAGGGGGGCCACGGGACCACCCGCCGCCCCGCGCTCCCTCCCTCCCCCTCCTTCCCTCCCCCCCCCTCGCTCACCCTCCCTCGACCCCCCTCGCTCGCCCTCCGTCTCGGGGTCAGAGTCGGGGCTCAGCAGGTCGGAGCTGTTGGAGCTGCCTCCGTCCTCCAGGTCAGCCGAAACCAGCGCCAGAGATCCGGAGCGTCGGGACCGCGGGAAGGTGAACAGGCGGCGCCACAGGTTGCTATGGCGACCGGAGGAGTTCAGCCTCAGGGAGGTGAAGCCCAGCTGAGAGCGGACCGCCAGCCGCAGGTTCTCCAGAACCGACGCCTGAAACAGAGAGAACCGTTAGTCTTTAGAACCTCTTAGAACATCACATCATAAGCTGGGATCAGTACCTGGTTCCCAGAGCACACTGGGAAGTCCTCCACCGGCGGGATCAGACCCTGAGCTATCAGCTGACCGTAAGAGGGCGGGGCCTCCCTCCTCAGGAGCTCCGCCTCCACCCTGGACAGCTGCGTCTCGAAGGACCTGCAACGATGAATCACAAGGCTCAGGTCCCCTAACGACGCATCACAAGGCTCAGGTCCCCTAACGACCAATCACAAGGCTCAGGTCCCCTAACGACGCATCACAAGGCTCAGGTCCCCTAACGACGCATCACAAGGCTCAGGTCCCCTAACGACGCATCACAAGGCTCAGGTCCCCTAACGACCAATCACAAGGCTCAGGTCCCCTAACGACCAATCACAAGGCTCAGGTCACCTAACGACCAGTAATAATAATAATAATAATAATAAATTGTATTTATAAAGGCGCCTTTCAAGGCTCTCAAGGTCGCCGTACAAGGTACACAACACAAAACAAAAGTCCAAAACACACAACAATATAATCAATCAATAAAAGCAGAGGACGTGTGATGTGATCAGGGAGGATGTGCCAATGTGAAGAGACGTGACTTGAAAATGGGGAGAGTCAGTATTCCGGATGTCAGGTGGGAGGGAGTTCAGAGGTCACACGGCTGGCAGCAACCAATCAGAGGCAGGTGTAGATCTCACCTGCGTTCGAACATGCGCAGCGAGTAGAGTTTGCAGGTGCAGCCGAGCGCGATGACGAGCAGCAGACCGCAGATCAGACTCCCGATGACAGCAGCAGTGATCACTCTGGTGGGAACGATCACTGGACAGCTCTCCTCATCGCTGCCGTCACCACAGTCGTCCTGCGCATCGCACACCCACGACTCAAACACACAGCGGTTATTCTGCAGACAATAAATCAAACACAGAGAAGATAATCACCCCGCTCGATTCCACACAAATACAAATATAATGCTCCATTAACATCTCTCAGGCACTAATTTTACACTCAGTCAGGCTAACATGTTAACAGCTGCATTACCTTGCAGTGGAAGTTCCCGGGCTGGCAGAAGAAGCAGTTCTTCTCGTCGGATCCATTGGGGCAGCGGTTCTGGTAGTTGCAGCGGTCCGATCGAGGGTAACACGCTCCGTTTCTGGAGCAGGGGAATTCATCCTCCTGACAAGAAGAACAGTTCAGCTCGTCCCGTCCGTTCGGACAGTGCCAGTAACCGTCACAGCGCTGCTGCTCAGTGTAGCATCCCCAGTTCCCCCCGCAGGGAACCTCCCAGGGCAGGCAGAACCCGTCCACCTTAAACACAGAGAGAGGGGTTCATCAGCGACAGTCCACCTTAAATACAGAGAGGGGTTCATCAGAGACAGTCCACCTTAAACACAGAGGGGTTCATCAGAGACAGTCCACCTTAAATACAGAGAGGGGTTCATCAGAGACAGTCCACCTTAAATACAGAGAGGGGTTCATCAGCGACAGTCCACCTTAAACACAGAGGGGCTCATCAGAGACAGTCCACTTTAAATACAGAGAGGGATTCATCAGAGACAGTCCACCTTAAACACAGAGGGGTTCATCAGAGACAGTCCACCTTAAATACAGAGAGGGGCTCATCAGAGACAGTCCACCTTAAATACAGAGAGGGGCTCATCAGACACAGTCCACCTTAAATACAGAGAGGGGTTCATCAGAGACAGTCCACCTTAAACACAGAGGGGCTCATCAGAGACAGTCCACCTTAAACACAGAGGGGTTCATCAGAGACAGTCCACCTTTAATACAGAGAGGGGTTCATCAGAGACAGTCCACCTTAAACACAGAGGGGTTCATCAGAGACAGTCCACCTTAAATACAGAGAGGGATTCATCAGAGACAGTCCACCTTAAACACAGAGGGGTTCATCAGAAACAGTCCACCTTAAATACAGAGAGGGGCTCATCAGAGACAGTCCACCTTAAATACAGAGAGGGGCTCATCAGAGACAGTCCACCTTAAATACAGAGAGGGGTTCATCAGAGACAGTCCACCTTAAACACAGAGGGGTTCATCAGAGACAGTCCACCTTTAATACAGAGAGGGGTTCATCAGAGACAGTCCACCTTAAATACACTCCCCTGGCAGGTAAAGGGACTGACCTGGCAAGTGGTAAAGGGACTCCCCTGGCAGGTGGTAAAGGGACTCCCCTGGCAGGTGGTAAAGGGACTCCACTGGCAGGTGGTAAAGGGACTCACCTGGCAGGTGGTAAAGGGACTGACCTGGCAGGTGGTAAAGGGACTCCCCTGGCAGGTGGTAAAGGGACTCCACTGGCAGGTGGTAAAGGGACTCCACTGGCAGGTAAAGGGACTCCCCTGGCAGGTGGTAAAGGGACTCACCTGGCAGGTAAAGGGACTCACCTGGCAGGTGGTAAAGGGACTCCACTGGCAGGTGGTAAAGGGACTCCACTGGCAGGTAAAGGGACTCCCCTGGCACGTAAAGGGACTCCCCTGGCAGGTAAAGGGACTGACCTGGCAGGTGGTAAAGGGACTCCCCTGGCAGGTGGTAAAGGGACTCCCCTGGCAGGTGGTAAAGGGACTCCCCTGGCAGGTGGTAAAGGGACTCCCCTGGCAGGTGGTAAAGGGACTCCCCTGGCAGGTGGTAAAGGGACTCACCTGGCAGGTGGTAAAGGGACTCACCTGGCAGGTGGTAAAGGGACTCCCATGGCAGGTGGTAAAGGGACTCCCATGGCAGGTAAAGGGACTCTCCTGGCAGGTAAAGGGACTCCCCTGGCAGGTAAAGGGACTCACCTGGCAGGTGGTAAAGGGACTCCCCTGGCAGGTAAAGGGACTCCCCTGGCAGGTAAAGGGACTCCCCTGGCAGGTAAAGGGACTCCCCTGGCAGGTAAAGGGACTCCCCTGGGAGGTAAAGGGACTCACCTGGTAGGTAGCGTTGAAGCCTCTGGCGGCGTTGATCTTGTCGGCGTAGAAGTGGATGCGCAGCTGACCGGAGGAGGAAACCACGGCGACCGGCGCCCGGGAGTCGAAGGCGGTCAGAACGCGCAGCAGGCGGCGAGGGTTCTCCTCCAGACCGTCGTACACCTTCACGTAATCTCCGTACCCCGTCCCGTCCAGCTTAAAGTCCATGAACCTCAGGACCACCTGGGGGGAGAGGGGGTGAGTGAGGGTCCTCTAACGGGTGAGGTTCAGGGGGTGAGTGATGGTCCTCTAACGGGTGAGGTTCAGGGGGTGAGTGATGGTCTAACCTTGCATGGGTTAAGGGTGAGTAAGGTATCACCTTGCGGGGGGTAAGGGGGAGTAAGGGTGAGGAATGTCTCCCCTTGCGGGGGTTAAGGGGTGAGTTAGGGTGAGTAAGGTCTCACCTTGCGGGGGGTAAGGGTGAGTAAGGGTGAGGAATGTTTCACCTTGCGGGGGGTAAGGGGTGAGTTAGGGTGAGTAAGGTCTCACCTTGCGGGGGGTTAAGGGGTGAGTTATTAGTTTTAGTCACATTTTAGTCATTTCTATACTTCATAGTTTTAGTCTAGTTTTAGTCGACGAAAACTCAAAACGTTTTAGTCTAGTTTTAGTCGATGAAAAATTACATTTTAGTCAACTTTTTGTCAAAATGTTTTCTCTCTTTAAACCAATTCAGTTAGGCAAAAACAGGTATCTGAAATTGGAATCAAGGTGACAGCATCAAGTGTTGAAATTCGTAAAGCAACATTTCACTCTCTTAACACTTTACTGTAATATCTAGGGATGGGTATCGTTAAGGTTTTTTACAGTACTACTAGTCTTATCGATACTGATTATCGATCCGGTACTTTAACGGTATTCTTGTATTTACTTTTTGTTATTTTTTAAAGGGAAAAACTAACAAATTGTTAACCGAATTAATTGCTTTATTTAAATGTGAAATAAATGAAATATATATAATTATGTTATTATATTGTACTGTACTTGAGTATAATGTTGAGGGTACTTGTACTTTACTGGAGTATTTCAATGTTTTGCTACTTTGTACTTCTACTCCACTACAGTTCAGAGATAAATCGTGTACTTCTACTCCACTACATGTATTTAATACCTTTAGTTACTTTACAGATCTGGATGAATGATGTGAAATATAATCAAGTGTTAAATCAGACTTCAGTTCCACCTGGAGTAAATTCACAAGCTACCCTGCAGTATACAAAGTCATTCAAACTAGCTGCACCTTTACCAGCTTTGAGAACACTTTCATGATCAATCATTATAAAACATATCATATATATTATTCTGAAATGGACCAATCTGCACAATGACTACTTTTACTGTCGCTACTTTCACTATATTTTGATGATCATACTTTTATTTGAGGAACTCTTCCTACACTATGGTATTTTTTTTACTTAACTACAAGATCTGAGTACTTCTCCCACCTCTGCACACCTGATGTGATAACGTTACTCGTAATTGGGGCAACAGAGCCACAAGTTAAAGGGGACCTATCATGCAAAATGCACTTTCGTACGTCTTTTATACATGACTATGTGTCCCCGGTGTTCCAGGGAACTCACCAAGTGTCAGAAAACACAACCCTCTCTATTTTCCTCCATACCCAAATCTCTAAAAAAGGGGCTGCAACGGATCTGATAAAAACTGATGCAGATTTGAACACTGTCCTGACGTCAGGACAGTGGCGCTACGGCTATTGGGCCAACTCCACCAATCAGGAGGAGACAGCCACGGCCATTGCCATTTGAAAGCGCTGGAGACGCTGTAGTACATATGCCAGGCCTGTAGATGGTGCTGTTCTCACAGAATCTGCCCTTGCAAAAACAGAGCTAAAAAATGTCAAATTGAGCAAAATGAGGCATGGCTAATATGCATGATCTGTTTGGTATTTTGAAAAAAAAAAGTATAAATATGCCTTATATAGGTATGGTCCTACACTATATTATTCAAATATAGCATGATAGGTCCACTTTAAGGAAGTCGAAAATTGTGCATTTCTTTGACTGAATATGACGCCTTTTGGCCGGCTGTTTGGACAGACTACTCTACTCGTGTCAACACGCTTACGCGTAAACACTAATGGCAAACGAGCTTTGTCCACATCGAGCCTTGTAGAGTGTCTCTATACTTCTGAACGCTCCGTCCCCGGCAGATCTCTGTGTGCCGCTGCAGCGTGTCTGTGAGGCCCCGCCCCCCGCACACAGAGAGAGACAGGGAGATCGCTCTTCTGGAGTGAAGAGAGCGGAAATAATGATATTGCAAGTTAGAAATGTAAGATGCATTTTGACAGACAAGACGGACAATTGGGGGGAAATACCCTGCATTTTGAATGTCCGATAGTCCACCATTAACACCTTAGTCCCATCTCGTCTCGTCAACGAAAACTAAATATACATTTTTGGTCAGTTTTCGTTATCAAGAATCTATTTTTAGCTCGTCATCGTCTCGTCTTAGTCGTGTAAAAAAGGTCGTTGACGAACATTTTTCGTCATAGTTTTCGTTGACGAAATTAACACTGGCCAGGACAAGACAGATTGAGCTAAACTCAACCTTAAATTCAGAGAGATGATTAAGGGGGAGGAAACAGTGAAGCATCTGAAAGACCTGCGGACGAGGGCGAAGGTGGCTCTAGGTCGTAAGGTGAACTCAGTAACAAAGACGGTGAACACTATGTTAGAGGAGGAGTTGATGAAAGAATATAGTGAAGTCCACAAGGCCGCCACCAAAGTCACAGAGGCTAACAGTGAATACCTGATGAAATTCATTCTGAACGCTGATAGCAACGAGGACCAAGAACCAGAAGAGCTGAGGGCAGACGTGGAAAAGACGGATGGAGAGACCAGCCAAAGGCTTGAAGAGGTCAGTGAAGTGATTAAAGCAAACCTTTGGTCTAGGCATGGAGAAAAGAAAGTGATGTTTGCCATCGGGGAAGCTGAAAAGGTCTATGAGGAGGCAGAAGCGACACAAATTGACCTGGTGAGCTATGAGAATTACGAAAAGCAGCTTAAACATTTAGAAATACTCATTAAGGAATTAAAGGAAGTGCACAGCACCTGGAGGGGATGGGCTCCTGTGACTGCTAGAAAAGATGTGGAAGAGATAGTGCGCCAGCTGGAGACAAGGAAAAACGCACTCAAGCGTCAAAAGGAAGCTGAGTTTAACAAAGCATGCGGTGCAGCAGAGTTGGCACGCACCGCAGCAGAGTTGGCACGCACCGCAGCAGAGGATGAGCGCACCAAGTTAGCCGAGACCCAACGTGCGAAGCTCGCCGAGATTCAAATTGCTGCAGAGGAAGCACGCATTGCAGCAGAGGATGAGCGCGCCCAGTTCGCCCTGGTTCAGCTAAGGCAAGACCAGGCCTAACGCTCTAAATTGGCCGAGGCTCAGATTGCAGCAGAAGAAGCACGGTTTGACCTCATGAAAGCGCAGCATAAAGCAGTGGAAGAGGCGCACACTACTGGCGTGGCAGGCACGGAACCCAGAGACAACCCGATGGGAGCGATATCAAAGATACGACTCAAGCCGGTAAGCCTAAGAGGGAGTTTCACCGCTGGAAAAAGGACTGGGAATCTTTGCAGAAGCAGGGAGAACCGTCCGGGTCGCCTGAAGTCAAGCAGTTCCAGCTTCTAGACTGCATGGAAGAGAAGGTAAAAAATGATGTCAAGTTGGCCAGCTACAGTACAGTCGAAGACATGTTCAGAGTACTGGAGAACCGTTACGGAAACAGGTCCACGATTGCACTGCAGATCGTCGCAGAACTGGAGAAGACACCAGCTGTGAAAGGAGACCAGCCGAGGAAGGTGATAGACCTCATCCAAGCTGCGGAAAAGGCTTTGGCAGACCTCACAGACCTCGGGAACCCTGGAGCCATCAACCACCCGCTGATGAATAGGTCTATAGAAAGCAAGCTGCCCGACCAGGTGAAGCGAGAGTGGGTCATCTTCAAGGCTAAGCCAGAAAACAGTGTCACCCCGGTCAACCATTTCAATGCGCTTCTGAAGTTCCTGAAGGAGCAAGAATAAATTCTAGAGAGCTTGGAACAACTGAAAATAACAGAGACATCTGAGAAAATGGAAAAGCCGCAAAACAGGTTCGAGAGAAAGTATGCCTACACAAAAGCCACCAGAAGGGACACTCCAGAAGGTGAGTGCGTCGTGTGTGGAGAGGAGAAACACAATAACAAGTTATTCTTCTGCAAGAAGTTCAAGGGGTTTGGCTTGGCTGAGAGAAACACTGCTGTGAAGAAGGTAGGAGCATGCCACGTTTGTCTTGGATGTCACGACGTGGTAGAAGAGTGCACAGACAGGTTCCTCTGCAACAGGGAAGACTGGCAAGAGGGGACCTCCTCGGACCACCACTACCTCCTCTGTCCAAAATGGGAACAGCTACCAAAGGGGAAACTTGGAAAAGGCAGCGAGAGGGTAAGGGAGCTAACAGAAGAACAAAAGCTAGCCTTGTCCAAATGTTCCCCAGAGGCGGCGGCGGAGATCAAGAAAGCTTTCAGTGACAGCAACAAGACTTCAGTGACAAGGAGCGCTAGGAAGGATGAAGGTGGACTTCTGGAGAAGAATAGACTGACCGAGCACCCCGTCATCATGATGCTGTTGGAAGTCACTGCCAACGCGGGGCAGAAGATCGGAGCTCTGATTGACCTCGCATCAGACACCAACTACATCACTCATGTAGCGGCTGACAGGCTCGGTCTGAGCAGAGAAGAAGTCACTCTGGTCGTGCATGGAGTTGGAGGAATGACCGTGACAGTCAAGACGAAGAGGTACCTCCTGCGAGTAAGAGTCAAGACCCCCAAAGGTACTGTGAGGGCTCACAAGCTGGTTTGTTATGGCCTAGAGGAGATCGCTAAAGTGCATCGGAGCGTCAGACCTGAACAGCTAAAGAGGTTCTTTCCAGAGGTTGCAACGGACGAACTGAAGAGACCAGACCATGTCGAACTTCTCATCAGTCACAGAGAGGGGAGACTCGCTCCACAAAGACTGAGGATAGTTGGAGACCTCGTCTTATGGGAGGGCCCACTGGGTAAAACCGTGGGCGGAGCACATCCCAGTCTGTTCGAGAATGTAAAAGTTCGCTCGCTCGATGAGGACAGCTGCTGTGGAGTACAGAGAAGTAGTCGAGAGTCCTGAGATCCATGTCCTACATGGCCAAAGATGAACACTGCCTGACTCCGCACTGGGACGCATCTTACCCATGGACCGAGGACCCAGCCTCACTTCCAAACAACAGAAGAGGAGTGGAGGCCACCGTCCTGAAAACAGAGAAGCAGCTCAGGAAGGAAACTGAGTGGCAGTCCGCCTACAAAGGTCAGATTCACGAGATGGTGGAGAGAGGCGCGGCAGTAAAACTCACCACGGAGATGATAGACGGCTGGAGAGGACCAGTGTGGTACGTGAGGCACATGGTCGTGCCGAAGCCCCACTCAGTGACGACACCAGTGAGACTGGTCTGAAACAGCAGTCAACAGTTCAGGAGGGTCAGCATGAACGACCTTCTGCTTAAGGGGCCAGATGTGCTGAACCCTATCAGATCGGTCTTACTCCGATTCAGGGCGGGAGAGCATGCAGTCCTAGGAGACATCCGAAATATGTACTACTCATTCTGGCTAAAAGAGCGCGAAGTCCACCTGCACAGGTTCCTCTGGAGAGACACCCCAGAAGAGGACATCGGTGAGTACGCCATGACCAGGGTAAATATTGGCGACCGACCCGCTGGGTGCATCGCACAGTTGGCGATGAGGGAGACTGCTCGGCTGCCCAGTTTCGCGCACATGGTGGAAGATCTCAGGGTCCTGGAGGAGGAGTTATGTGGACGATATCTTAACGTCCCACAATGACCCAAAGAGACTGGAGGAAATCACAGAGGGGGTAGAAGAGATCCTGAGCGCCGGAGGCTCCTCCCTCAAACCATGGGTCAGGTCAGGCCAAAGTGGGAGGCAGAGGACTGCGGAGCAGGTCCAAGCTGGAGCAGTAGCAGAGCCAGAGGTCAGGTTGGTGGAGTCAAAGGCCAAGCTAACACCTCTCGACCAAAAGGGAGACGTAGTCAAAGCTGAGATGTGCGGTGCAGTCTTTGCAGCTCGATTAAAAGGGTATTTGCAGAAGCACGGCCGGTTGGAGGTGGAGCGCTGGTTCCACTTTGTTGACAGTCAAACGGTCCTGGGAGCCATCCAGCGAGAGAGCTACGGGTATCAGACTTTCTTCGCAAACAGGGTCGGCGAGATCCAGAAGGCCGGACCAGTAACTGACTGGTGGTGGATCCCAGGGCCATTTAACATCGCCAACATCGTAACAAGAGGAGCAACTCCTGAAGACCTGGGAGAGGGCTCAGAGTGGCAGAGGGGACCAGAGTTCCTGGTGAGGCCGCTAGAAGAATGGCCCATGAAGTCGGCCGCGGAGGTGGCAACTGGTGCCAGAGAGAGTGTGGGCAAGCTTCAAAGAAAGGCATTCTCTGCAATACTCACCAGAGCCAAGTCAAGCAAAACCCCTATCCATGACGACACCAGTGGAAAGGACACAGAGGCTGAGGAGTCCCTAGTTAAGGTTGGCGGATCCCCAGAAACCTCAGAAAGGGAAGAAGCTTCAGTCTTGACAGAGAGAAGACCGGAAGGAAAGTTTCTGAGCATTGCTGTTGTGAACCTGGTGAAACCAGAGAGGTTCAGCAGTCTGGCTAGGCTATGTGGAGTGGTCGCATGGGTCCGACGAGCTGCAGAGAAATGGCTGACTAGAAGAGGCTGAGCGGCGGGTCAAGCAAAGTGGGAGGCAAGAGTCCTGGACAACAGAAAAGTCAAACCTGTGCCTCTGCGGGGGGACCTGGCTTCGGGGTCGTTGAAGATTCCGAAGTGGAGAACTAAGAAGAAGGAACCTCCTCAGACACCACCACCAGAGCAAAGTTATTTAGGTTGGTGGCCTCCTTGGGTCATCCGACCAGGAGGCCAAGTGGGAGGTGTGCTGTAAACTCATGGTTTGTGCTGGGTGTATGAGGGTTCAATTAATGGGTTATGTGAGTGTGACTTTAAATCTGGGTGGAGATTCGCGGGGTTTATTGATGTGTTATAAATAGAGGGGATAAATAAATTAACGTCATTGAGATTGAGGAATCAGGAGAGGCCACTAGTAAGTGTGATTATTATATTGAATGTGATTTAATGTGTATGGGATATGTGTGATCCTAATTGTTGTATTGTTGTTGTCCTTTTTCTTCTAAGGTTAACAACCTATTTGGATTTGATTAAATTATCAAAACTAGGAGTTGTTTCCGTTCATCCTGATTTCACCCATACTGTCGGGAGATAGACAGTACACTTATAGTGAAAACCACCCTTGAATGATGGGATAGTAGACAAAAAGCTTTAGGAATCCAAACTATAACATATAATAAGTACCCTGTATTAAGATTAATGCAAAACAAGTGACATTTGACCTTTTTAGAAAGATTTAGAAAAAAAACGCACCTCTGGGGTCATTTTCCATATATCTGGAACCCCACGGTCGATTTTGATGATTGACATCTCTTTTGAACCGTTAGAGCCAATGGAATCGAGGGGAAGTTCCTAAAATCCATCTAAACATTACCCATTGGTGAATAGAGTGATGCGTAGCCAACATGCCCAAAACCGGAAGCTGTCATACACTCTCGTAGCTCTCATAATAGCTATATATGAAAACTCAGTTTTTGCCATAAATATGACGATGGATTATCAGTAATCATTTCAAAGTGACGGAGACATTGGATTAACCTTCAGCAGCGTTTTTATCGTTTTAATGCCATTGAACACAACTTTTGATCAGAACACAGCAACGGTAAGACAATGTCCCGTTTTTGCTCCGTAAAGCTCTGTGTTGTGATGTCTGTGTTTGCTTCCCCTGTCGCGAGTTCTGATCGCTCAGTGATGATACTTATACCCCTAGAATCTGTGGAATATCAGCTTGCTAATCGATATCTTGTCTGTGCAGATCTGATATGTAATAAGGGTAGAGTTATGTGCTAAGTGTGTTAGCATTTTTTCGCTCAGGGCTCATTTTGACGCTTCTTGTGAGACTTGTGTTTTGTTTCGGTAAAAATGGTTCGTATCGTCAGTTCGCTGCGTTTCTTCCCGTTAAGTGGGTATGACACATTAATAGGTTTTTAAATGTTAAGAAGCCCTGACACAGTTTCGTGAAAAAAAACGGGCGGGGGCCTCCGGGTTGAACAGGTTAAGGGGTGAGTCAGGGTGGGGAAGGTCTCACCTTGCGGGGGTCCCCCGTGTCGATGGTCCAAGAGCAGTTGCTGCCAGGTGGGTAGAAGTCGGGGTAGTTGGGGGAGCTGAAGGAACCGTAGAAGTTCCTGAGTCTCTCTCCACAGGACGGAACCTCACAGTCTATCTCGTCCCCCAGATCCTACACACACACACACACACACACACACACACACACACACACACACACACACACACACACACACACACACACACACACACACACACACACACACACACACACACACACACACACCACACACACACACACACACACCACACACACACACACAACACACACACACACACACACACACACACACACACACACACACACACACACACACACACACACACACACACACACACACACACACACACACACACACACACACACACACACACACACACACACACACACACACACACACACACACAGTGTTTACAGGTATGTGTGTCATAGTGTCTACAGGTGTGTGTCAGTGTCTACAGGTGTGTGTCATAGTGTCTACAGGGGTGTGTCAGTGTCTACAGGGGTGTGTCATAGTGTCTACAGGTGTGTGTCATAGTGTCTACAGGTGTGTGTCATAGTGTCTACAGGGGTGTGTCATAGTGTCTACAGGTGTGTGTGCCATAGTGTCTACGGGTGTGTGTGTCATAGTGTCTACGGGTGTGTGTGCCATAGTGTCTACAGGTGTGTGTGCCATAGTGTCTACGGGTGTGTGCCATAGTGTCTACGGGTGTGTGTGTCAGTGTCTACGGGTGTGTGTGTCATAGTGTCTACAGGTGTGTGTGTCATAGTGTCTACAGGTGTGTGTCAGTGTTGTGTGTCATAGTGTCCAGTGTTTCCCCTACCATTGTCCCGCCAACGGAGCCCCGCCAACGGAGCCCCCCTAAAATATATATATATAGCACCAAATTGCAACTAATCTATATCTACTGTCACTTTTCACATTGAACATGTGCTCTTTTATTAAATAAACTAAATGCTTTCATTTTAAGTTGTGAGTTTAGTGTTTGTGACCCAAAGAAACACTGATGTTAATCAATAACAATAATCCACAGCTGCTCTCTCTGCTCCAGAGGATTTAAAAAATATATATCCCAATGCCACCCCCCCCCCCCCCCCTCTCAGGCAGCACCCCCCCAAAGCAGTAAACCTAGGGGAAACACTGGTGTCTGTGTCAAAGTGTCTACAGGTGTGTGTGTCATAGTGTCTACAGGTGCGTGTGTCATAGTGTCTACAGGTGTGTGTGTCATAGTGTCTACAGGTGTGTGTGTCATAGTGTCTACAGGTGTGTCATAGTGTCTACAGGTGTGTCATAGTGTCTACAGGTGTGTGTGTCATAGTGTCTACAGGTGTGTCATAGTGTCTACAGGTGGGTCATAGTGTCTACAGGTTTGTGTGTCATAGTGTCTACAGGTGTGTGTGTCATAGTGTCTGCAGGTCTGTGTGTCATAGTGTCTACAGGTGTGTCATAGTGTCTACAGGGTAGGGATGCCAGAAACTGACCATGATTAAAATCGAAAATCGGACAGCCCTGGCGAATATTAATCGATTATTCGACACCCCCCCCCCCCCCCCCCGCGGGAGAAAAAAAAAAAAAAGTATTTTCTTTTATTAACTATTCTGTGGACGTGCCGCTCTGTTCATCTTTAGTTGTGTAGTTGTGTTCTCACTGTTCTGTCGCCAATAAATCAATCGCACGTGTGACGGAGAGGGGGGGGGGGGAGAGGGGGGGGGGCGGGGTCGGTGTGTAGCTCTGCGCTGCTGGCTTCCTCCAAGTTTACAGTAAAACAAACTGGTGGTGTGATCAATGGTCATTTACAATTATTAATACTATTACTATTATTAGCATTAGTCTATATTTTGGTTGAAACCAAACCAGGAAAAAAAAGAAAAACATAAATATTAATAAAAAAATATATAAATAAAATCGATTTTTAAAAATAATCTTCGATTATGGAGACAATAACGAATATTCGAATAATCGAATAATCGCTGGCATCCCTACTACAGGTGTGTGTGTCATAGTGTCTACAGGTGTGTGTGTCATAGTGTCTACAGGTGGGGTTACCTGGCAGTCTATGGTCCCGTCGCAGCGCAGGCTGTGGGGCAGGCAGGTATAGATGCGGGTGTACCTGGACAGGCAGGGGAACTGGTGCAGGCCGCAGGGGGTGAAGGAGAGGGGGGAGTCGAGGCACAGCTCCTCGTCTGAGTTGTCTCCACATTCATCCATCGAGTTACAGCGCCACCAGTCAGGGACGCACTTCCCATTAGAGCAGTGGAACTGGTCCACATCACATCCTGGTGCCGAGAGGGAACCTGAGGGGAGATCAACATCTATAAACCAGATCTCATATAACCCAGATCTACCATAACCCAGATCTCATATAATCCAGATCTCATATAATCCAGATCCCCTCACCAGTGACGTAGCTCAGTCTGAAGCCCTTCCCAGTGTCAGAGTCTCTGTTGGAGATGAAGTGGATCCAGACCTGGTCCTGGGTTGAGATGAAGGGGGGCGGCAGAGAGGAGCCACAGACCTTCAGACCCTCCAGAGACCTGAAACTTCCCACCGACAGCCAATCAGACGAGCAGCGGTGGGAGGACTGCAGGTCAAAGTCCTGGAAACTAGAGAAGAAGAGGATGTTAGGAGGCTACCACAGAAGAAGAAGAGGTTAGGAGGCTACCACAGAAGAAGAAGAGGTTAGGAGGATTGCAAGGTTGGGGTCGAATAGTCCAAAAATCAGCTCCTCTCGTCTTCTCCTCTCCACTGAGTGAAACGTCACGGGGTTAAGGGATAGTGGATAGGAGAATTCAAAAGGACTTAGGAGAAGAGACTGCGTTACTTTTGAGAATCCGACTGCACTTTCACTATCCAACGTGTTTATGATGCGCCAGCGGACGTCATAAATGTGCGTCTGCTGCTGTGGGGAAACTATGGAAACTAGGGCTGTGCAATTAATCGTATTTTAATCGCAATTACGATTTTGGCCTGCCACAATTACGAAAACAACATAATCGAAAAAAACGATTATTTTGCTTTGCTTGGTTGTGACAGTGCGCTGCAACATATTTGATCTAATTTATTTTAGTCTAATTTATTTGTATTTATCATATTTATATATGAATGGATGTTTTCAAAGTCAATGAATAATCGTATTTAATAATCGTGATATCAATTATTGACCAAAATAATCGTGATTATGATTTTTGCCATAATCTCACAGCCCTAATGGAAACTAGTTTTCTATACAGCGGACTACAACATGGATGTAGAATAAGAACGAGGGACTACTGTAAACTCATCTAGAGACTCTGCACCGTGCTCTGATGCTGTTGTTTTATGCTTTATGAACGGGGACAACAGAGAAACATATTCTTCATGACCAAAGTTGGAATTGAAATAAAAAAGGAAAGTGAAACTTATGCTCGTCACCCTCTCCCTCCGGTCCACATTAATACAAATGATCCCAATACATATGATTATATGAAAAGATCTTAAAATCAATACAAATGTATTTATTATAAACGTTAGTCCTTAACATCTATCACTGTGTATATCACCATTCAAACATCTTTTAAAAGTTGAACAAACCCCACACAGCTCAGTAAAGACTGTGAAATGTTGACTTTATTTGATCATTTCAGTAAAAACAAACTTTCATATTTCTCTTTTTGATTATAATACTGATGAACGTTCAAAACAAAGCACTTTGGCAACTTACCACATACGTTTTAAAATGCTTAATAAGCACCGTAACTTTCATGATATCATTTCTCGTTCATAATCGGTTGTTTCCGTGAACGGCCGACTGTTGTGTGACGGCAAATGCTGCGGCTGCAAGGCATTGTGGGGCAGCATTTTCTCCTCTCCTTTAGGTTAGGGAGGTCCAGTGGTTCCTAAGCTAAAGGAGGTTATAAAGGAAGTTTGAAACCTCCTTTCTTTTCATCTAGAGCAGGGGTGCCCAATACGTCGATCGCGATCGAAGGTAGTGTTGGTAGATCGCATGGCATTGAAAAAAATAAAAAATGTAATTAAAATAAAAAGTTAAATTAAAAAAAAACAAGTTAGCCTATCATCCATCCTTACTATGGCATTTGCCACTTGATTGACGTACAGGTAAGCCAGTCTCAGATCTCATATTTTCTAACACGCAGTTCACCACGCATGCGCGGTCAACCGCGCCAGCTGCAAATCACCGGCGAGCTGATTACCTAGCCAGCCTTCCAATTTATACAATTCTACTAAAGAAAGGGTCTAAGGGGGGCCTCACCTCCGCATTTGAAGCGCAAATGCGGCACAATAAGTGCAAGCGCACCAGTTTCTCCGCTGCTTCGAGGTTCCGGTGCTCGCAGTCCACTAGCACCCCCCCCCCGCTCGCGACACACAGGGCCTCAACACATGACTTTGGGCAGGGGCGGCCCTGTAGGTAGATCACTTTGACTTGGTCATTTTAAAAGTAGCTCCCAAGCTGAAAAAGTGCGTTAGGAAGGTTCCTAAGAGAAACGGACTATTGGACCGCAACCAAAGTTTCAAACCTCCTTTCCTATCATTTAGAGCAGTGTTTCTCAAAGTGTGGTCCGCGGACCACTGGTTGTCCATGAGCGCTCCCTAGTGGTCCGTGAGCAGAGTTGGGTGTAACACGTTACTTTAATAATATTACTTTTGTCGGTAACGGAGTAGTGTAACGCGTTACTTTTATAATTCAGTAATCACACTACAGTTACTAACATTGCCCCGACACGCGTTACTTCGTTACTTTTATAAAATCAGTCATAATCACACAGACAAGAGGGGTTTCCGCCGCAGGTTTATAAGTACGTAATCTGCGCGACTTGAGTCCACATCTCCACGTGCAGTGCTGCATAAACATGGCTGAGTCAGCGATAACTTTCGAGGGGTGGAGGTATGCCCATTACTTTGAGTTCGTCCGAAGAATAGACAGGAATGTGACGGTGAGGTGCAAAAAAAGTTTGAGAAACACTGATCTAGAGAATCAGCTCTTATCATGGCGGCCACTGAGGTACTTCCGGGTCATTTCACTCCGTTAGGAAGGTCCCTGAGAGAAACTGGGTGTTTCTCAATGTCGAGTAAAGCTGCTTCAGAGCCACTATTTCAAGCATACTACGTCATCGAGTGCCACCGAAGTACTGTTCCAATCTCCAGCATACTTGGAAATCTACCGAGCCCGGCGGACTCCGTTTGGAGAAATATCGAGGCTGCACATGAGTAGACTCCGCGGTCTTAAAATCCCCACAATGCTTTGCGCACGGACCAATTTCCCCAAATCTGTGGCGGAAGATGTAAGGCGGGGCCTATCATATGACGCACACCTGCACACTTGCTAGCGTGTTCCACTCTTTGTTTTCCGAATGCCAGGAAGTATTCTTGCCTCGCTTCTGAAGCAAGATGCTCGGCAGACATGTGCTACCAAGCAAGCGTACTCGCGATTGAGAAACACCCACTGACTATTCGACTGCAGCCCAGGAAACTAGAGAAGAAGAACAGGTTAGGAGGCTACCACAGAAGAAGAGGAGGATGTTAGGAGTGTATAATGTGTGTGGGTGTGTGTGTGTGAGTACCTGACAGTAACAGTCTCTTCTGGTAGAGTGTGTGTGTGTGTGTGTGTGTGAGTACCTGACAGTAACAGTCTCTCCTGGTAGAGTGTGTGTGTCTGTGTGTGTGAGAGTACCTGACAGTAACAGTCTCTGCGCAGCCTGCGGCTTCCTCCAAGTTTACAGTAAAACAAACTGGTGGTGTGACCAATGGCCATTTACAATTATTAATACTATTACTATTATTAGCATTAGTCTATATTTTGGTTGAAACTAAGCCAGGAAAAAAAAGAAAAACATAAATAATAATAAAAATATATATAAATAAAATCGGATTTAAAAAATAATTTTCGATTATGGAGACCGTAACGAATATTCGAAAAATCGCTGGCATCCCTAGTGTGTGTGTGTACCTGACAGTAACAGTCTCTCCTGGTAGAGTGTGTGTGTCTGTGTGTGTGTGTGAGAGAGTACCTGACAGTAACAGTCTCTCCTGGTACAGTGTGTGTGTGTGTGTGTGCGTGTGTGTGTGTCAGAGTTCCCGTTAGAATATTTTTTTGCCGGTCAACATGTCCGTTAAAGTTGAAATCTTCCGGACAAAATTAGATAAGTGCCGGTTAAAGGTCTTCTTTGTTATTTATTGAGCTTTAAAACAAATTGATATGATTCGACATTAAACAAACTAATTATAGTAGATTAACTACATTATTCAAAAGTGTACAGTAATTTACAAAAACGCGGGAATAATAAACGGAGCGCTCTCTCCTTCTCCTGACAGCCCGTCAGTATCATGCAGCTCGCGGATCCAGTAATGAGTGACCCGACAGTAAAACTAAACATATCTATAACTAGTTTAGGTAGTTTGAGAGGTAATTAAAATAGCTACGTGTGATTTTCTAACCTGAAGTGTGTTTTGCTCTGCTCGCCGCTGCAGGGGATCATGCAGAGCTGCGTGTCGACTCGTCAGCAGCAGCCGATCTCTCTCTCCTGTCAGATTAGACTTTACTCGCATTTATGTCCATATCGATCAGATCTAGCTAGTTCTAGCTAATGATATGACTACCTGCTTGTTAAAAGACACCTAAACAATAAGCGTCGCTATGCAACCGGATGAGGCCACAAAGTATAGCGCAGCATTATGCATTTGTTTACATGCCCACCGGAACCCCGAGGCATTACCAACAGATCACGCACAATCAACCCATACAGGACATCTCTTTCTCCACATTAAGTGTTAGACATTAGAATTGACAATTTTTGTCTGTCACATACTCTTTTGTCTGTCACATACTATTCTTGTCTGTCACATAAGTGGCGCAACTGATGCGGTATTGCGCTAAGGGAAAATTATTTTGACCGGACATTTTGACCGGAGAGATTTAGATTTGCCGGACTTCAGCATATTTTACCGGTCATTGTCCGGTAATTACCGGCTAACGGGAACTCTGGTGTGTGTGTGTGACTGTGTGTGAGAGTACCTGACAGTAACAGTCTCTCCTGGTACAGTGTGTGTGTGTGTGCGTGTGTGTGTGTGTGTGTGTGTGTACCTGACAGTAACAGTCTCTCCTGGTACAGTGTGTGTGTATCTGTCTGTGAGACAGTGTGTGTGTGTGTACCTGACAGTAACAGTCTCTCCTGGTACAGTGTGTGGGTGTGTGTGTGTGTGTGTGTGTGTGTGTGTGTGTGTGTGTGTGTGTGTGTGTGTGTGTGAGAGAGAGAGTACCTGACAGTAACAGTCTCTCCTGGTCTCCCTCTGATGATCCAGCTACAGTTCAGTCTCTCCTGGTACCTGATTGGCCAGCCGGGGCTGCTGATGACACCGCTGGAGCCTCTCAGAAGCTCCGCCCCCTCTCCACAGGCTGGGGGTCAAAGGTCACAGGTACATTAGATAACGGTGACACACCACCCCCCCTCTACAGGTGTGTTTATATCAGAACTGAGTGATATCTGAGAGGGTTCCTCACCGCTAGAAATCCCCGACACGTACACGTTGTCGTTCCTCTGAGACGCTGCAATGCATCCTGGGAAACACACCGGAGTATATATTTAAATTAAATCATCAGAACCAGGTTTATAACCAGGTAGGTTGACACGTACGAGGAATTTCACTTGGAGCCGTGGTGCATACATCCAAGTAAAACAAAAATAAAAAACACAGATAGAAAACTATTCTAAGAACACTATAATAACATTAAAATATAATAATAAATGGTCAATTATGACGATTTTAATCTCAGAGAGTAGTGTTATTCACCACTGCAATAACCCCACACAGAGCTAACAGTCATTAGCATCTATGCTGATTAATAATCCCTCACATTATTACTATAAGCGGTTGGATGTGAGAGGTTTGTCTCAGTGTCGAGAGGCTCACCTGAGAGAGAGAGCAGATAGAGCACAGTCTGCAGCCTGCAGCCTGCACTGAGGGCCGACATCACCCTGAGCAGGTGAGACAGGTGAGCAGAAGGATGAAGGTCAGCGAGCAGCTAATGGCTGCATCTCAGATAAACAGCGATCTGTTAATTTAGCATCTGCTTTAATCTACCCGCTAACAGTGAGCTACGTGTGAGCTAACAGCTAACCGTCTGCAAACAAAGACTCCGTTAGCTCAGGCTAACAGCAACCTTCAGCTCACGGAGATATTTCCATCCGTAACAAAACACCTCACTGTTAAAGTAACCTGGGATATAAACTGTTACAATAACCCGGGATACACCATCACTGAACTAAATTAACCCGGGATATAAAGTGTAATAGGAGAGCTAGCTGAAACAGAGAGAAAGCTGCTAACAGCTGTTTCTAGAGCTAACAGCTAACGAGGCTAACGTTAACAACATGCTAACAGCTAGCCCGTCCTGCTCCACAACAAGGACATCCAGCCGGACCGTGATCCGGGATAAAGCTAACCCGGGATACTCAGAGATAACACGAGTAACACACAGCTAACCCGAGCTAACGTCTCCAGCTGCCGGACACCTTCCGTTAGCTTAGCTTCAGAACAACAACAGTCCGCAGCGAAGACCTGTGTGTCTAAGCCCCGCCTCCTACGTGACGACATTACTCTACACAAAGAACGGGTGCCTCCGGTTTAGTACCCGGATGTTTGGAGGGTTATTTATTTAATCTCTTATGTAATTGTCTTTTTTATTTCATAAATCAAATGAAATTCAAACAAACTCAAAGCAGCTGTTCCTTTTTTATCCCCCACCCCATCTGATACAGATCCATGAGAACAATTGTTGTTGTTGCTGTTGTTTTACCAACAAAGAGCTCCGTAATGATACTCGTGACTTATCATAAACACACAGGTTTATTTACACACAAACAGCAACATTTTTCAGTCTGACCTCTGACCCTGAGGTTTGTTTACAAAGAGTCAACTGTAAACAACAGACTGACAACCAATCAATAACAAGAATACAAATAATATTTATAATAATAAATGATGATCGATAGTTTTAAAGCGGGATATCCCAAACATTTTATTAGCACGATGGAGACGAAGATAAAGCTGCTGAAGATGGTGAAGGTGATGAAAGTGTGAAGGTGATGAAGATGAAAGTGATGAAGGTGAAGGTTAAGAAGAAGGTGAAGGGGATGAAGGTGATGAAGGTTAAGATGAAGGTGATGAAGGTTAAGGTTAAGATGAAGGTGATGAAGGTGATGAAGGTGAGGCCCCCCCCAGGTGTGTCTTCAGGAACTCCTCCAGACTGAAGACCCGCCCCCAGCCGTAAGCAGGGCGCATACTGATGAAGTCATCAAGGTTCATCCGGCTCTCTGAGGAGAAACAGTGACGTTATCATTAGTTATTAACGTCATCGAGATGTGAACAAACAGTTACATCACAGTGATGCAAGGCTTCCCCACTCCCACTGCTCCTAGATAGATAGAATCAGAGGATGAAACCCTCTTTAATGTTCTCAAATGCAGAGTACACAGCACACAGTGTCATGGGTTCTCTGCTGTGAACCCATCCTAGTACCGGGAGTCTATTACCAGGAGTCTAGTACCAGGAGTCTAGCACTAGGAGTCTAGCACCAGGAGTCCAGTACCAGGAGTCTAGTACCAGGAGTCCAGTACCAGGAGTCTAGTACCAGGAGTCTAGTCCCAGGAGTCTAATGCCAGGAGACTAGCACTAGGAGTCAAGTACCAGGAGTCTAGTACCAGGAGTCTAGTCTAGTACCAGGAGTCTAGCCCCAGGAGTCTAGCACCAGGAGTCTAGCGCCAGGAGTCTAGTGCCAGGAGTCTAGTGCCAGGAGACTAGCACTAGGAGTCTAGTACCAGGAGTCAAGTACCAGGAGTCTAGTCTAGTACCAGGAGTCTAGCCCCAGGAGTCTAGCACCAGGAGTCTAGCGCCAGGAGTCTAGTGCCAGGAGTCTAGTGCCAGGACACTAGCACTAGGAGTCTAGTACCAGGAGTCAAGTACCAGGAGTCTAGTCTAGTACCAGGAGTCTAGCCCCAGGAGTCTAGCACCAGGAGTCTAGCGCCAGGAGTCTAGCGCCAGGAGTCTAGTGCCAGGAGTCTAGTGCCAGGAGACTAGCACTAGGAGTCTAGTACCAGGAGTCAGGCACCAGGAGTCTAGCGCCAGGAGTCTAGCGCCAGGAGTCTAGTGCCAGGAGTCTAGCACCAGGAGTCTAGCACCAGACGTCTAGTACCAGGAGTCTAGCACCAGGAGTCTAGTACTAGGAGTCTAGTGCCAGGAGTCTAGTAACAGGAGTCTAGTGCCAGGAGTCTAGTGCCAGGAGTCTAGTGCCAGGAGTCTAGCACCAGACGTCTAGTACCAGGAGTCTAGTACTAGGAGTCTAGTACCAGGAGTCTAGTGCCAGGAGTCTAGTAACAGGAGTCTAGTAACAGGAGTCTAGTGCCAGCCGACTAGCACTAGGAGTCTAGTGCCAGGAGTCTAGTCTAGTAACAGGAGTCTAGTCTAGTACCAGGAGTCTAGCCCCAGGAGTCTAGCACCAGGAGTCTAGTACCAGGAGTCTAGTGCCAGGAGTCTAGTGCCAGGAGACTAGCACTAGGAGTCTAGTACCAGGAGTCAAGTACCAGGTGTCTAGCACTAGGAGTCTAGTAACAGGAGTCTAGTCCCAGGAGTCTAGTGCCAGGAGTCTAGTCTAGTACCAGACGTCTAGTACCGGGAGTCTAGTACCAGGAGTCTAGTACCAGGAGTCTAGTACCAGGAGTCTAGTATCAGGAGTCTAGCACTAGGAGTCTAGCACTAGGAGTCTAGTACTAGACTCTTAGTGCTAGGACGGGTTCACAGCCGAGAACACATGTCACTGTGTACTCTGCATGTGAGAACATTAAAGAGGGTTTCATCCTCTGATTCTATCTATCTATCATCATGATGATGTCATCACTCCGTTACAGGTGTTTTACCTGTAGTGTGTATGGGGGGGTAAGGGGGGGGGGGCATCTTCCACGAGCCGTCAGAGTTCTTCATGTGCGATCGATCGGACGCAAAGTTCAACAGGAAGCTGTGAGCGGGAACAACACGCAACTTCCTGTTGAGAGAGGGAAAGTGATGTCACTTCCTTCAGAGACACAAAACACATATTTTACTTATTTTCCTGATTACCTAATGCCGTTACGCACCGCTAACGATCACACCTGTTCACTCAGAAGCTCACTCAGGTGTGTGTTCAGGTGTGTGTGACCTGTGTGTTCAGTTGTGTCTGTGTGACTTGTGTGTTGAGGTGTTTGTGACCTGTGTGTTCAGGTGTGTGTTACCTGTGTGTTCAGGTGTGTTACGTGTGTGTGACCTGTGTGTTCAGGTGTGTGCTACCTGTGTTCAGGTGTGTGTTACCTGTGATAAGCTGGTCGTATCCCCCTCTCACTCCTCAGAGCCTCAGAGGAGTAACGCTTCAAGCTGCAGGGAAACGGCAGCTCCGAGTCCAGATCATAAACCACAGAAGACCTCGCCTGCAGCAGAACCACGTGGTAATCCTGAAACACAGCATGACCTCATTAGTGACATCGCCGTGACATCACCATGACATCAGTATATGCTAATGAGCTGTGACATCACAGACCCAGACCACCGGCTGCCCCCCCCGTCCAGACGTCTGCCTCCACAGAGGAACCTGAAACACATACATTATATTAAATGATATTAAACCATATTACATTACATATATCTGTGTGTTCTCACCGTTCTATTCTCATTGGAGATAAAAACTACAAACATGTCCTCCAGCTGAGCAGCGTCCTCTCTCCTGAAGAACTCACAGAGACACCAAACATTCTCCTCACTGCAGAAGAAAAACGTTGTAGTTCTACATGGTGTAGTTCTACACAGTACATGTTGTAGTTCTACACAGTACATGTTGTAGTTCTACATGTTGTAGTTCTACACAGTACATGTTGTAGTTCTACATGTTGTAGTTCTACATAGTACATGTTGTAATAATAATAATAGATTTATTTTGTTAGCGCTTTTACAGGTGCTCAAAGACGCTTTACAGATATAGTGAAAAGAAAAGAACAAATAAATATATATAGTTAAAGTTAAAGTCAAATAATAAAAAAAAAACAATCACACATTCAAAGCCAGATTGAAGAGGTGAGTGTTTTGAAGGTGGTGAGGTCAGTGCAGTCTCTGATGGGTTGTGGGAGTGAGTTCCAGAGGGAGGGGGCAGCGACGGAGAAGGCTCTGTCCCCCCAGGTCCGGTGATTGATGCTGGTGGGGATGGATAGGAGGTTGGCTTCTGATGAGCCGAGGCAGCGGGAAGGGGTGTGGTGGTGCAGCAGGTCTGTGAGGTAGGGGGGGTGTGGTGGTGCAGCAGGTCTGTGAGGTAGGGGGGGCCTGATTGTTGAGGGCTTTGTAAGTAATCAGGAGGACTTTGAAGTCGATTCTTTGACGGACGGGGAGCCAGTGGAGGTTCTGGAGGACGGGAGTGATGTGGTCTCGGGAGCGGGTGAGGAGGCGGGCAGCAGAGTTCTGGATATGTTGTAGTTCTACACAGTACATGTTGTAGTTCTACACAGTACATGGTGTAGTTTTACATGTTGTAGTTCTACACAGTACATGGTGTAGTTCTACATGTTGTAGTTCTACACAGTACATGTTGTAGTTCTACACAGTACATGTTGTAGTTCTACACAGTACATGTTGTAGTTCTACACAGTACATGGTGTAGTTTTACATGTTGTAGTTCTACACAGTACATGGTGTAGTTTTACATGTTGTAGTTCTACACAGTACATGGTGTAGTTTTACATGTTGTAGTTCTACACAGTACATGGTGTAGTTTTACATGTTGTAGTTCTACACAGTACATGGTGTAGTTCTACACAGTACATGTTGTAGTTCTACACAGTACATGTTGTAGTTCTACACAGTACATGTTGTAGTTCTACACAGTACATGGTGTAGTTCTACATGTTGTAGTTCTACACAGTACATGTTGTAGTTCTACACAGTACATGTTGTAGTTCTACACAGTACACGTTGTAGTTCTACACAGTAGGTTGTAGTTTTACACAGTACATGGTGTAGTTCTACACAGTAGATGTTGTAGTTCTACATGTCACATGTTGTAGTTCTACACAGTACATACTAGCCTACTGTTATCTTTCTGAGCCTACTGTTATCTTTCTTACAGTGCAGACGCTTTTCTGCTTGCTCTTGCCTCTGCTTACTTTTTATGCTGATTTTCCTATTCTTATTCTCTGAAAACTTCGAGCAGCGGCTCCTGGACATTAACTTATCACTGGGACAGTTATTCATCGTAAATAGACGGAGGGTTTCAGCCATATTTCAACATTTTTACGACGACCTCAGTCTTACAGTAGCGTGGCCTAGCAACAGCTAAAGCCTGGTAGGCTACTGCATGCTATTTAGCTTAAGCTAGTTGGTAGCAAAATGCCTCCGTTCTCTACAGATGACTTCCACAAACTTCAACAGAAGATGGCTGTGTTGGAAATGAAAATGCAACGGTTGGAAGTTAACGTGGAAGTGAATGGACTATGTTGTGGGAATAACACCACTTTACCAGTGTTGCAAGATAATGGAAAAGGGTATGCTAACTCACAGCTAGTTAGCAGCTACAAGGTTTCCAAGGAACAGGAGGGCTGTGTACTGGGTAATAAATCTACAAGTGGTAGTCCTCCCTGGAACTCTCTGGGTGCAAAGCCTAAGAGTAAATCATTTCCATGGGATTTGGGAGGACGAATAACAGGCAGAGCCCAGCGCTCTGAAATCTGTGATGCGACCGGCTGGCCTGCATTGTTATCACCCAGGAAGAGTGCCTCTCCAACCCCTATTCATACTAGGAAACAGCCGTGGACAGCTGCTAAAGGGAGAACTACAAACAATCCTCCTAAACCACCAAGTGTGCCAATCCAGAACAGATACGCTCCGCTGACCGAGAACCGGAGATCTCTTTCTGATGACCTGGATAACCCGTCCTCTTCACACAGCAGGGTAAGGACCAATAGCTACTCCAAAAGTAAAAGGCTAGAGGGAAAGCTAACGGCTGGGCCTGAAACTCTGATTGTGGGTGATTCTGCTGTAAGAGATGTAAAAGGTCTGTGTAGTAAGAACAACACCAAAGTACTCTGTTTTCCCAAGGATATGGTCTCCGACTTGGCTGAGAAGATCCTGCATATTGGGGCTGAACATCCGACTGTGAAGAATGTGGTACTACATATTGGAACAAATGATGTTGTGAAACAACAGTCAGAAGCGCTGAAAGAAGACTTTAAATGTCTGTTGGAAACTGTCAGCTCTCTAAATGCGGAGGTGTTCATCAGTGGCCCTCTACCGCCAGTCAGAAGAGGAGTGGAGAGATTCAGCAGACTGTTGCATTGAACATGTGGCTTTCAGCTGCCTGCACTGACCATTCTGTCCATTTTATTGACAATTTTAACTTTTTCTGGGATCGCAGACATCTTTTTAAGGCAGATGGAGTTTGCCTGAACAAGTCAGGAGTGAAATTGTTTATCTCTAACATATTCAACTGCCTGCGTCAGCAATCTGTTCCCTCTGCCAAGGACAAGCGGCAAGAGGAATCAAAACAGGAGAAAGACACAACACATTGCGCAGAAAACCCTGAAGAAGTATCACTGCACCCGCCTGAGGAATGTTCTGATTATGGGAGACCTATGACACAAATGGAGGAGTCTCCACTGCCCGTCACCCCCCCTGTCAACGCCTTGGAGGATACTCTTCATTCATCTCCCAGCTCTCTCTACTCTCCGCTCACCCTTTCACCCTCGCCCTCCCCCCTGGAGTTCGATGACCGCATGAAGGCGAGATGCAGGGTTGGCAGCATGTCCTTTACCCCCGCCCCTCAACGACGCCCACCAAAATCACCGAAGCAGAGACGCGCACCATCTCCCCCGTCTTCATCACTGTGCCTATGTCAACCACCTCCCAGAAAGCATCTGCAGTCTCCGAAGCCTGATAAGGATGTGTGTGTACAAAACGCAACAAACTTTTACTGATATGTGCTGGGTCCAGGCTCAAGGGCATATGGCACTCTCAACTCTTTCCAGCACATGCCGGGGCCCTGCCTGCCAGTAGCTTTGCCGATATCTGTGTTGATAGGTAATAGATTAAGAGCGGTAAATCAGCTTAGAAACAGGAAGTGCTCAAACGTTTGTGTGAGGTTATCAAATTTAGCAGTGATTCCATGTCAGCCACAGCTTGTCACAAAATGTTTTACTGATAGTGTATTTAACAAACTTAAACTAGCTTTATTAAATGTCAGGTCTTTGGCAGGAAAAACATTTTAAATCAATGATTTTATCACTGAGCACAATCTCGATTTTATGTTTTTAACGGAAACTTGGATTGAACAAAATAACAGTGCAGCTGTTCTTATCGAATCAACCCCTCCCAACTTTAGTTTTATGAGTCAGGAAAGAATGCATAAGAAAGGGGGTGGAGTTGCTATTTTGTTCAATGATTCCATTCAATGCAGGAAGACATCTTATGGGGACTTTGCTTCTTTTGAATATGTGGCCCTTCAGCTGAAATGCTCCTCTCGAGCTCTGTTCCTAAATATCTATAGACCACCCAAATACTGTGCAAGCTTTTTTGATGATTTTACTGAACTGCTGTCTATAGTGTGTATTGACTTTGACCGTTTAGTCATTGTTGGTGATTTTAACATCCATGTTGACAACCCCCAGGACAGAGGGGCTAAAGAACTGTTTTGTGTTCTTGATAACTATGGACTGACTCAGCATGTGGCGGAGCCCACGCACAATAAGGGGCACACTCTGGACTTAATTATCTCAAAGGGTCTGAATATCTCAAAGGTTGTGGTGACTGATGTTGCACTCTCTGATCATTCCTGTGTTTTCTTTGAGAGCTCTATTTCTGTTCACAAAAATGTTCAGAAAGAGGTAACCACAAAGCGATATTTAACTGAAAATACTAGGGAAATGTTTACTCATAATTTCTCATCCACACTTGCCCCTGCTAACATCTCAGTAAATGAGGTAGTAGATCATTTTAATTCAAAAATTAAAAATGTTATAGATACCATTGCTCCAACTAAGGTAAAGGAAGTGATTAGCAAGAAAATATCTCCATGGAGAAAGGCCATGGCCGTGAGAACAGAAAAAAGAGAGTGTCGAAAAGCTGAACGTAGGTGGCGAAAAACAAATCTCCAGGTTCACTTTGAAATCTATAAAGAGAGACTTGGCCTTTATAATTTGGAATTGAAAAACGCACGACAGTCTTTCTTCTCTGACATCATTACCAAAAACAAAAACAACGCACGTGCCTTGTTTGCTACCGTCGACAGACTAACTAACCCCCCAGTGTCAGTAGCCTCTGAATTTCTATCCACCAGGGCGTGCAATGATTTTGCCTCCTTCTTCACTGACAAAATTCAGAAAATTAGACAAGCAGTCAGTGCCTCTACATCAGGTACAGCAAATGTTTTGTCCCTATGTCCACCTAATATCAATTCAAACACCATGACACAATTCCATCAGATTAATGGTAAAAACTTAGAGGACATTATTCAACTTCTGAAATCCTCCTCCTGCTGCCTTGATATTATTCCAACAGGATTTTTCAAAGATGTTTTTCCTTGCATGGCCTCAGATCTACTTCATATAGTAAACACATCTCTTCACTCAGGTATTTTTCCAGAGGCCCTGAAAACTGCAGTCATTAAACCGCTCTTAAAAAAGAATAATCTAGATGCCTCAGTAATGAACAATTACAGGCCAATATCAAACCTGCCATTTCTAGGTAAAATCATTGAAAAAGTAGTATTTCAACAGTTGAGTAACTTCTTGCATTTAAATAACTGTTTGGATGTGTTCCAGTCAGGATTTCGTCCAAACCACAGCACTGAGACTGCTCTTGTAAAGGTCTTCAATGACATCCACTTAAACACAGACAGTGGCAGAACTTCAGTGTTAGTATTATTAGATCTCAGTGCTGCATTTGACACTGTTGACCACAACATATTACTAGACCGACTAGAAAACTGGGTGGGACTTTCGGCAACAGTTCTAAATTGGTTTGAGTCCTACTTAAAGGACAGAAAAAACTTTATTTCTATAGGTAAATACACATCTGAGTTGACAAATATGACATGTGGGGTACCTCAAGGCTCCATCTTGGGGCCTCTTCTCTTTAACATCTACATGCTACCACTGGCTCAGATAATGAAAAACAACAAAATAAGTTACCATAGCTATGCGGATGACACACAAATTTACGTAACAATTTCACCAGGAGATTATGCTCCAATTCAAACACTGAGTAAGTGCATTGAACAAATCAATGACTGGATGTGTCAGAACTTTCTCCAATTAAACAAAGATAAAACTGAGGTAATGGTTTTTGGAGCCAAGGCAGAACGTATAAAAGTTAGCGCTGAGCTTCAGTCTGCAATGTTCAAAACAACAGATAAAGCCAGAAATCTAGGTGTAGTCATGGACTCTGACCTGAGTTTCAACAGTCACATTAAAACAGTTACTAAATCAGCCTACTATCACCTAAAGAACATATCTAGGATTAAAGGACTAATGTCACAGCAGGATTTGGAAAAACTTGTCCATGCTTTTATCTTCAGTAGACTCGACTACTGCAATGGTGTCTTTACAGGTCTCACTAAAAAATCTATTAGAAAGCTGCAGCTAATTCAGAACGCCGCTGCTCGAGTCCTCACTAACACTAAGAAAGTGGATCACATCACTCCTGTTCTGAAGTCTTTACACTGGCTTCCTGTGTGTCAAAGAATAGATTTCAAAATATTGTTGCTGGTTTATAAAGCTTTGAATGGTTTAGGCCCAAAATACATGTCTGACCTACTGCTAAATTATGAACCATCCAGAACCCTCAGGTCTTCAGGGACTGGTCAGCTTTCTGTCCCCAGAGTCAGAACTAAACATGGTAAAGCAGCATTCAGTTATTATGCTCCGAATATCTGGAACAAACTCCCAGAAACCTGCAGGTCCGCTGCAACTCTTACTACTTTTAAATCCAGGCTGAAGACTTTTCTTTTTGCCGCTGCTTTTAATTGAACTATTCACATCTTAAACTGCACTGTAACTTTTAACTTTTATCCATGTATTTTTTCTTTTAATGTTTATTTTATTATCTTTCCTTTTTAATGACTGATTTTAAATGCAATTTTTAAAATGTCTTCCATTTTTGTAAAGCACTTTGAATTACCTTGTGTTGAAAGGTGCTATATAAATCAACTTGCCTTGCCTTGCCTTGCCTTGCCTACATGGTGTAGTTCTACACAGTACATGTTGTAGTTCTACACAGTACATGTTGTAGTTCTACATGTTGTAGTTCCACTCACCAGTAGCAGCTGGTATATTCGCATTTTTCGCGGCTCGGTTTGATTTTCTCTTCAAGCGCCATGTTGTGGTGTCACAGTGAAATAACTCCGGCAGCTCCACAATGAGGTGTCACAGGGAAATAACTCCGTCAGCTCCGCGATGAGGTGTCACAGTGAAATAACTCCGGCAGCTCCACGATGAGGTGTCACAGTGAAATAACTCCGTCAGCTCCACGATGAGGTGTCACAGTGAAATAACTCCGTCATCTCCACGATGAGGTGTCACATTGAAATAGCTCCGCGATGAAGTTTTTTTTTATATATAAAAACGAAAAATTGTATCGACACAATTGTTTTACAAACCATCAAAGCTCATTATAACAGTCAAAAAAGTAACTTAGGGTTGATACAGTGCAAACATACAAACAACATATAGCAAACAAAAAATACAAATAAAATGTTTTTGCTTTTTGAAAGTGTGCAGGTCCTGTTCAAGAAACATAAATGAGCCCAATAAGGAGAGGTTTCGGGGCGTTTTTTGTCCGTCATGTATTCGAGCGATTTTGCAAAAACTTTGAATTAATTCTTCCATCCGTTGATATGAGGTTTAGCTTTCAAATATTTACACTTATGAATAAAACGTTTACTCAACAAAATCAAGTTGTTTACCAGAAAGTCCACGTTTTTATCCCTCACAAGTACTCCAGCTTTAAGACATCACATTTATAGGGTGTTCTAATATACCTTTAGGTTGAAGCCTGAAAAGCTCCGCGATGAGGTGTCTCAGTGAAATAGCTCCAAAACCTTTCATATTTAAAGGTCTCCTATTATACTATCTTTAGGCAGATATCATAGGTCTCAGATATATAAAGACATGTCTCTGAAGTGTTCTGCTCCAAACCCCAAACAGATCCTTGTAGGGCCTCCCCCCTCTCTTCCAGCTGTAACTAAAGAGCTGACTCTGGGTCAGTAGCTTTAGAGAGAGAGATCTCATCAGGAGAACTCTCCCAGCAGAAACTCAGCTAAATGCTGCCGTGATGAAACTCCATATCATGTTCCAAACCACATCAAGGATTCTCTCTGAAACAGTATGGAGCTCAAACTCTTTCTCTCTCTCAAGGCCCGGACACACCAATCTGACGACAAAGAACTGACACAGATGGACCCCGACTGTTGCGTCGCCTCGCGTCTCTGCGTCTTGGCCATGTGTCGCACTGGAACACACCGCAAAGACTTCAGCCGACGGCCAAGAAGCACGTACGAACTGGGCATGCGTGAGTGGCAATAACTCTCCTTACCAGCAGGCGGCGGTAGTGTGTATTCGTCATTCAAAAGAGGCAACAACCGGAAGACAGACTGCGTGATAACCGAGAGAAGAAGAACAGACTGCGTGATATAAACAAACAACAAATAGCTTGTGCGTTCCATTTTCACTCTACAGCGAGAAGCTCATGGGGCTTTCCCGAACCTGTGTCGAGAGCTGGAGTTAAATGAAATCTCAGATTTGCCTTCTTAATCGTTTGTTTGGGTCCCTCACTTCCGTTTCGCTTCTCATGCACTGATTCGCTAGCTGAACAGCCAATCAGAGTGATTTATTTTGCCGACTGCCCGCCGATTCAACATGGCGGGTTTTCGGCCGAAAAGGCGTCGGCCCGGCTGAAAAGACCCGACGGTGCGGGACACACCAATCTGAGTAGGGCGTGTCGACGCTCATCGTCGGCCTGACGCCCACCGGGCGATAATCGGCCTGGTGTGTCCGTGCCTTAAGGGTTACCACAAGGTGAGTTCCTTTTGATTTCCTGCTTCTTCACACATACTCTCTCCAGTACAGGTTAGCTCTGAGTGTTAGCATGCTAATGTAAACACAGACCATATTATTTCCAGAACATGTCTCATTGTTTCTGATTGGCCCGTGGGTGTAAAGCCCGCCCACATTTTAGTAATGTGGTCATGACGCAGCAAATCTGGATCAGCTCCGTTGTTCCCCCGTTTTTAGAGATGTGGGTACGGAGGAAAAGAGAGAGGGGTTTATTTCCTGACACACCGGGGATACATGGTGATGTAGAGAAGACATCACTTAGAGAGTCTCCTGACACACCGGGGACACATGGGGATGTAGAGAAGACATCAGAGTGCATTCTGGATGATAGGAGACCTTTAAAACGACACATTCCTCTAGACTTTATTAGTGAGCGTCTTCGAGGTAAAGCTATAAAATACCATGCATTACTTTTATTATTAAAAACACACAGAAGAAGAAACAGTTACCATGGCAACAGAAGGCAGACAACAAGTTTTATTAAAAAGTAAACAGGTCACATCTCCATGGTTACAGCCTACAACAGCACATGGTGTCCTAGCAACCGTTGCTAGGTGAACAGTCTGATGGTGGCGTCGGCGCCGGAGGAGAAGACCCACGGCTGGGAGGGGTGAAAGGTCACGTCTAGAACCCCAAGGTCGTGGGTGATCACGTGACCTCGGAGAACCTTCACTGGAACCAGCAGAGGGTTCTGCAGCAGGTCACTGTGGGGACAGGAAGTTAGGTTACAGACAGGAAGTGAGGTCAAAGAGACAGGAAGTGAGGTCAAAGACAGGAAGTGAGGTCATTACTTGTAGACGGTGCCGTGGCAGACGATCACGGATCCGTCGTCGGACGCCGAGGCGAACAGAGGGTAAAGTCTGTGATAGGCCACGCCCCTCACTGCCTTCTTATGGTGTCTGCAGACAACAACAACAACATCATCAGCATCATCATCAACAACAACATCAACAACAACAACGTTTGATGGACAGGTTCGTACCGGAGCATCTTGTAAGGTTTGGTTGAGAGGTCCAGGTCGAACCAGCTCAGCCTGCAGTCGTAGCTGCCACAGATCACATGATCACCTGAAGACAGACACAGGTCAGACACAAGCCCCGCCCCTCAGCAGTGATGTCACAGGTTTAAAACATAAATACATTTGATTGGCCCGGAGAATCTGGTGATGTGGTGAATCTGGTGTAGTGGTGAATCTGGTGATATGGTGAATGATGTGGTGAATCTGGTGTAGTGGTGAATCTGGTGTAGTGGTGAATCTGGTGATATGGTGAATGATGTGGTTAATCTGGTGTAGTGGTGAATCTGGTGTAGTGGTGAAGCTGGTGATATGGTGAATGATGTGGTGAATCTGGTGATGTGGTGAATCTGGTGTAGTGGTGAATCTGGTGATATGGTGAATGATGTGGTGAATCTGGTGATGTGGTGAATCTGGTGTAATGGTGAATCTGGTGATATGGTGAATGATGTGGTGAATCTGGTGTAATGGTGAATCTGGTGATATGGTGAATGATGTGGTGAAGCTGGTGTAATGGTGAATCTGGTGATGTGGTGAATCTGGTGTAGTGGTGAAGCTGGTGATGTGGTGAATCTGGTGTAGTGGTGAAGCTGGTGATATGGTGAATGATGTGGTGAATCTGGTGATGTGGTGAATGATGTGGTTAATCTGGTGATGTGGTGAATCTGGTGTAATGGTGAATCTGGTGATGTGGTGAATCTGGTGTAGTGGTGAAGCTGGTGATATGGTGAATGATGTGGTGAATCTGGTGATGTGGTGAATCTGGTGTAGTGGTGAATCTGGTGATATGGTGAATGATGTGGTGAATCTGGTGATGTGGTGAATCTGGTGATATGGTGAATCTGGTGATATGGTGAATGATGTGAATCTGGTGTTATGGTGAATGATGTGGTGAATCTGGTGTAATGGTGAATCTGGTGATGTGGTGAATGATGTGGTGAATCTGGTGTAATGGTGAATCTGGTGTAGTGGTGAATCTGGTGATATGGTGAATGATGTGGTGAATCGGGTGTAATGGTGAATCTGGTGTAGTGGTGAATCTGGTGATATGGTGAATGATGTGGTGAATCGGGTGTAATGGTGAATCTGGTGTAGTGGTGAATCTGGTGATATGGTGAATGATGTGGTGAATCGGGTGTTGTTGTTGGTGATGTGGTGAATCTGGTGTTATGGTTGTTCAAACCAAACCATTTCATGAAGTTGTTCAAACTTCAAACCATTCCATCCTCATCAACCGCCTCCAGTCTTCCATTGGCATTACCGGTACTGCCCTCTCCTGGTTTAAATCCTATCTCTCTGACAGACATCAATTCATCTCCATTAACAACTCCAAATCGATGACTCCATTGTCAACCCCTCCACTCACATCCGTAACCTTGGTATCATCCTCGACCCCACCCTCACTTTCCTCCCTCACGTCAACCAGGTCACAAAAAACGCTTTCTTCCATTTAAAGAACATCGCCCGCATCAGACCCTCTCTTCAGACCCTCCCTCTCATCGACCGCTGCTGAAACTCTGATCCATGCCTTTATAACATCCCGACTGGATTACTGCAACAGCATACTTTTTGGATCACCTGCATTCATACTAAAAAAACTTCAATATGTCCAAAACTCAGCTGCCCGCTTGCTCACCTCCACCCGACCACATCACCCCTATCCTCCATGACCTCCACTGGCTCCCCATACAACACCGCATTGACTTTAAAATATTACTTTTCACTTTCAAAGCCCTCAACAACCTTGTCCCCCCCTACCTCTGTGACCTCATCCAACGACACACCCCCACCCGTCGCCTCAGGTCTGCTGAAGCTAACCTACTAGTGTTGTCACGATACCAACATTTTGGTTTCGATACCAAGTCAAGAATTGCGATTCCGATTCTTTTCTTTTATTATTTTCATGATCAATAAAATTGTAGTTTATCTGTTAAGTGTTTTCTTACAACATGGTCTCTTCTTTATACTTGAGTTTATGTGATTTCTTTGATAGTTAACTTTATATTTTATTAACATGTAATAGTACAGTAATATAAATAATTATTGACAAAATGTACATTGCAGATGTTAGCCACATTGGTAAGTTAGCTAAAAAGATAGCCATATTAGACAGTTATCATTGCCATTAATTGCCTCGTCAAACTACGAAAACGTTCGTTTGTCACAAAATAAATGACACTTGTTTGACTTAGATTTGAGGGCATGGGCTTGAGCATGATGTAATTATGTTATCTATCATATTCGCTAACCTGTCTGTCTTTAAACAGCTCTGGATGCCGGTCGGCGAGGTGCTTAGCCACGTTTGATGTGTTGGCTCCCTTGGTTTGCAGGGATCTAAAACATGTCTTACAGACAGGCCTCGTGGTGTCCGTAGGCTTGCCCTCACTGTCAGAGATATAGCTACAATACTTCCACATTTCGCTTCTGGCGTCTTTCTTGTCAACAAGCCGAGGCGCAGCGGCAGTTGCACTCCCACTTGCAGCTTCTCGTTTCCTCACATGCTCTGGCAGCTAGCGCGTGCACGAGAGAGGGGAGGGGCTGCAGGCACGGCTGCAGTGCAGGGAGTGGAAGCAGAGCGCTGAACACACACGGCTCTTATTAAAACAGCGCTTTCTCACCGGAGTACTTTTCCCCGTCATTCTTAAAGTACCGATACTAATGAAACGGAGGAATCGTAACGTTTTTAACGGCAGGGTATCGCGGTACCTTTCAAGTATCGGTACACCGTGCAACACTATAACCTACTGCAGCCCATCAGGACAAAGCTCCGGACCTGGGGGGACAGGGCCTTCGCAGCAGCCTCCCCCACCCTCTGGAACTCCCTCCCCAGCCAACACTCTCACATCATTCAAACAATCCCTCAAAACTCACCTTTTCACTCTTGCCTTCAACTCCTAATCAACTAACCCCTTGGCCTTATTCCTCCTAGCTTAGCACTTTCTACTTTTGTTGTTATTTTGTTTTACTTGCTTGTATGCGCTTTGAGCACCAGGAAAAGCGCTTTATAAATGTAATGTATTATTATTATTATGGTGAATCTGGTGATGTGGTGAATCTGGTGATGTGGTGAATCTGGTGATGTGGTGAATGTGGTGTTGTGGTGAATCTGGTGATGTGGTGAATCTGGTGTTGTGGTGAATCTGGTGTTATGGTGAATCTGGTGTTATGGTGAATCTGGTGATGTGGTGAATCTGGTGTTATGGTGAATCTGGTGATGTGGTGAATCTGGTGTTATGGTGAATCTGGTGTTATGGTGAATTTACCCCCGGGATGCACGGCCATGCTGGAGATCCATTTGGAGTTGGCCTGCAGTTTTTTAGTCATTTCCTGTTTGACGAGGTTGTAGATGCGGACGGAGCGCTGCGTGGCCACGAAGAAGTAGGGCCTGACGGGGTGGAAGGATACGCACTGCACCAGCCCTTTGTTCTTCCTGAAGGGGTTCTGGCTCCGCCTCCGACTCACCTGGTGGATGAACACCTGCAGGTGGCTGGAGTGATCCGGCATCACAGAGGCCAGGTAATCTCCTTTAGCGTGCCACGCCACCTGCTGGACGGGCTGAGGACAGGTGAGACAGACAGGTGAGTCAGACCGGTGAGCACAGACAGGTGAGACAGAGAGGTGAGTCAGACAGGTGAGACAGACAGGTGAGTCAATATCTGAAGATGCGGTTCGTGACAGGTGTCTCTGAAGGTGTGTCTCACCTTTGGGTGCTGGATCTTAAGGCGGATGCCCTGGTTTAGCTCCTCCCCCTCCGTGTCAGTCCAGGTGACAGGCCCCGCCTCCTCTGCAGGCTCCGTCCCCTGTGGACCGGCAAGCAGTCGCTCTGACGCAGAGACGACCTGTTTGTCTGCCAGAGCGGGAGACAGGACGAGCACCATGGAGTCCCTGAAACAGACAGAGCGTCAGGTGAGTCCAGCACAGGTGAGTCCTGCCCAGGGGAGACCTCCACAGGTGAGACTAGCACACAGGTGAGTCCTCCACAGGTGAGACCTGCCCAGGTGAGTTATGTACACTAGGTAAGTACAGGTGAGACCAGCACAGGTGAGTTCTGTAGACCAGGTAAATACAGGTGAGTTCTGTAGACCAGGTAAATACAGGCGAGTTATGTAGACCAGGTAAGTACGGGTGAGACCTGTAGACCAGGTAAATACAGGTGAGTTCTGTAGACCAGGTAAATACAGGTGAGTTATGTAGACCAGGTAAGTACGGGTGAGACCTGTAGACCAGGTAAATACAGGTGAGTTCTGTAGACCAGGTAAATACAGGTGAGTTATGTAGACCAGGTAAATACAGGTGAGTTCTGTAGACCAGGTAAATACAGGTGAGTTCTGTAGACCAGGTAAATACAGGTGAGTTCTGTAGACCAGGTAAATACAGGTGAGTTCTGTAGACCAGGTAAATACAGGTGAGTTATGTAGACTAGGTAAGTACGGGCGAGACCTGTAGACCAGGTAAATACAGGTGAGTTCTGTAGACCAGGTAAATACAGGTGAGTTCTGTAGATCAGGTAAATACAGGTGAGTTCTGTAGACCAGGTAAATACAGGTGAGTTCTGTAGACCAGGGGCCTCATTTATAAAGGGATATACGCTCAAAAAATGGCGTACGCCAGTTTCTACGCAATGTTTGCGATTTATAAAAAACTAACTTGAGGGGAAAATGTGCGGTCCTCCACGCAAACTCTAACCCATGCGTACGCACTAAGCACACAAACGGGAGAGACGAGAAACTGCGACACCGTTGGCAGAAGGAAGAATGGAGAGAAATATGTGGAAATAATACCATAAATCAAATGTTACCTCTCATTTATCAAATATGAAGAATTCATTTTCAAACATTGATTAAAGCCAATCTTAAAATGATTAAACAAACGCCTGTTTGAGACTCCTCAGTGCACACAAAAACATAACTTGGAGAAATAAATAAATACGGATATGTTATTTAAAACCACCTCGAATATGTTGTGTTAATGTTATGAAATGTTTTCTCATAAATGATGCGGTAAGCAGAAGGACAGAATTCGTCTAAACTGACGCCGTTTTGCATTTCTATAGGTTTTAGATACGAGCATGGTTTTATATACTATCACGTTTAATCGTGTTTTATGCCGTTTGCCAAGACTTGATAAGTCGCTCGTAAAACACAGGAGGTATGGAAACTAAGAACACTATATGTGGTAAATTGTACAGCTAATATAACACAACACATTGTATTTCCTTTAACTGGTGGATTATGGATATATAGTTGCTGATCGACAGCTGGAACACAAACCACCAAATACAACAAAATATTTCAGATCCAGTCGTCATGACTCCACTCCGGAGGGATTCCCCGATCATTTCTTACAGTTTCTCATCAAGGGGGTCTCTCCTGTCCCCGGGACAAACACACTGCCTGAGGAAGGTTATGTGTATTTTTTTTGTCATTAACCTTTTTCGGACCACTTATTTATTTATTTTGGTGACGATCCGACCTCCATGCTGCTACTCTGGTTCAAACTGCATCCACCAAACAATATGATTTATCTCGACCTCCCCAAAATAACCTAAATCTGACACGATGTGAGATGTCTTTTTTAGCTGTTCTATCGTCATTTCCTGCGATCTACTTCATGCAGTCAGTCAAAATGAATGAATGAATGGGCGTTTCTTTGACTATTTATAGGCAAATATGGGCGTTACGTGAAGCCCGCAAAAGCTGCGCCGCATTTCTAGTCGATTGTGATTTATAAAGGGAAACAGGCGAGGGAAGTGCCGGTACGCACTTCCCTCGCCGGTACGCTGTGTTTTATGAATCGGAAAATGTCGGAACATTTCTCTACCTACTTTTTTGCTTTGTCCTACGTAAGCAACCTTCCCACGTGAATCCTACGCAAGGCGTTATAAATGAGGCCCCAGGTAAATACAGGTGAGTGCTTACAGGGCCACAGCCAGCAGGCTCAGGGAGGCGTTGGGGTTCCAGGCCACGCTCTTCACGGCTCCGCCCACCTGGACCGTCTTCAGGCAGCGAGACGAACAAACCTCCCAGAACCGCACCGAGCCGTCATCACTGCCTGCGGACACACACACTTACATTATACACACCCTGATACACACACACTTACATTATACACACCCTCACATACATTATACAAACCCTGATACACACACACTTACATTATACACACACACACACTTACATTATACACACACCCTGATACACACACACACATACTTACAGTGTACTAATACACACCGTTACACACACATATTATACACAGAGTACAGCAGGTGTTACCTGAGGCGAGCCACTGTCCTGAAGGAGACACACTGATGGAGCGAACCAGACCACTGTGACCCCGATACACCTGCACACACACACACACACACACACACACACACACACACACACATATATATTATATTGATCCTCAACAAGATAAATGTTACGTGTGTGTGTGTGTGTGTGTGTGTGTGTGTGTGTGTCTTTGTGTTTACCAGAGACTGTGTTGTTGGGAAGGGCTGCAGGTCTTTTGGTTTGGGGAGCTTGGGAATCAAATCTTCTGGATTCACATTGACCTGCAGAGAGAGAGACAGGTAGAGAGACAGACAGAGAGACAGACAGGCAGAGAGACAGACAGACAGGTAGAGAGACAGACAGAGAGACAGACAGAGAGACAGACAGACAGACAGGTAGAGAGACAGACAGACAGGTTACTGATGGTCCTCACACACATTCGGTGCAGCGCACTGATTGGCTGTCTCACACACAGCGCTCTGATTGGCTGTCACACACACAGTGCTCTGATTGGCTCACCCTCAGCTTCCTCTGGCGGGGGCACAGGTAGAGGTCGAGGCAGCGCTCAAATCTCTCGTGGAGGAAGCGAGGAAACGCCGGCACCTGAAGGAGGGACGAGAACCTGCGAGGGACGAAGGGACACTTCCTGTCGGAGACATCCTGCTGCTCCCACAGGGCTTTCTGAGGACAGGTGAGAGACAGACAGGTGAGAGACAGACAGGTGAGAGACAGACAGCTCACTTCCTCCTCAGTGAACAGGTACTCTGGGGGGGGGGGGGGGGGGGGTCAGTGAGAGACAGACAGGTGAGAGACAGACAGCTCACCTCCTCCTCAGTGAACAGGTACTCTGGGGGGGGGTTGTAGGACTCCATGTGTCCCGGCAGGGGGGCTCTGGGGGCCGGCAGGTGCATCTTGAGACGAGCCAGCGAAGTGGTACAGTCCTCGTTGGCCCACAGGTCGTAAAACCTGCCCTCCGCCTCCTCGTGGCGCTTTGGTTTGATCCATCCCATCTTTATGGCATGGACCAGCTTGGAGACCTTCTCCTTCTCCACCAGAGAGGGGATGAAGCTCCTCTTGTCAGCCGGGCGGTTAGTGACCGGGTGCAGCATCACGTCTGAGCTGAAGAACTCCACCTGGGGCTGGGGGGGGGGGACAGGTGAGGGGGGAGAGAGAGGGGGGGACAGGTGAGAGAGAGACAGGTGAGAGGGGGGGTTATACAGGTTAAAGAGCCTCTGGAGGACCTTATTCCTGAGTAAATAGTTTCTAACGGCAAACACTGACCGAAACTTTGTGTACCAGGTACTCTGTGTACTGTGTGTACCTGGTACTCGTTGTATTGTAGTGTCTGTGTACTCTCTGTGTACTGTAGTACTCGTTATACCTGGTACTCGTTGAAGTGCAGGTCTCCGAACTGTCCTCTCTGCAGACGGTTCACCAGCGCCACCTGGTCGTCTGACAGGATGATGTCACTTCCTGTCTGCTTGTCATGGATCGTTCTCCTGCAGACAGAGGGTTAGCATAGTTAGCATTCCCTGTTCAAACCATTGAGAGAGTTAGCATTATGCTAGCAGGCTCACCAGTAGTCCGGGTTATCCATTTTGTCCAGGAACTCGTCCAGTTCGTCCTTGTTCCTGATTGGTTTAAAGATCTTCTTCCCATCCAGGTTGTATCCAATGTGAGGGAAGTCTTTGTACCAGTCCATCGGGATGTTGCCCACGGTGTTCCGGATGTCCTGCACAGCGAGAGGTAGGGATGGGTATCGTTAAGGTTTTAACGGTACTACTACTTTTATCGATACCACTTATCGGTCCGGTCTTTTAACGGTACTCTTATCGGTTCTTTTGGAGAAAAAAATGAGGTAAACTAACTATAGTTAGTTAATACACTAACTGTATGTCAGGGACTACGGATGGAAATGAGCTCAAAGCTAAAATCCGGCATATTTACACTTGAAGCATTATTTGTCTAAAGTGTTCATTAATGTGCATTGTCCCTATTCAAATAAACGATTAAATGAAAATTAACAAATTGTGAACAAAACTAACATTGCTTTTTATTTAAATTAAATACATAATATTTCACATCAACAGAAACAACAACGTTTTAACAAATCATATTAAATAATCTGATGACAGAACTGTGAACAGAATGGCTGAAACTTTAACAAAATAAACAACTTTGTTACCTCTACTCATTAACCCATGTTTGAATCATTGAGTTAGCTCCGTGTGTTGCTGCTAGCATACATAATATACCTGACGTGGAAACGTTACTCGTGGATGGGGCTACAGAGCTACTAGAAAGACAGTCGAACCCGGTGCATTCCTCCGTCTGAATGTGGTGCACTTTTGCTAAATGTTTAGACAGATTGCTCGTGTTACCGCCCTGACATGCTAAACTCTTATTGCACTTTAGGCAACGAGCGAGACGGGTAAAGTTGAACCACACCTCGGAGCGCGTTCTCTCCGCCATCTCCTCCGTGTGTGTGTGTTGCTGCATGTAGCAGCTGCGTGTGTGTAAACTGCCCCGCCCCCTCGCAAGCAGGCGGGGGAGAGAGATCTCTCGTCTGGATTGGAGATCGAAAATACTAAAAATGACGCATTTTGCAGTCTTTTTGTATGTTAGAAACAGAGTTGGCGACACTAAAACTGCAATATAATGTTTGTGTAGCAATAATACACATGACATATTTTTTAGATGTCTCCAGTACAGATAAAAAGACCGATAACGTCGGAGCTTAACGGTACCACGGTCTTTAATAATTCAGCCCCGGGGCCCGTTTAATACCGGGGCTCGGTACCCATCCCTAGCGAGAGGTCAGTGAACACACCACACAGGTCATTAATGGCGCATTTCCACTACAGCGCGGAGCGCGGTTTAGCCCGGCCCGTTTTTGGTTGCGTTTCCACTAGGCGTAGTTCCGGCTTGCGGGTACTTTTTCACAGTTTTCTGGCTCTCCAAAATCGAGGTTCTTTTCGGGCCAACAACCGGGCTGAGTATGCTAAACTAGTGAGAGAATCGCTGGCAACTACAACAAGATGAACATATTTGACCGTGATTTAATTGTAATACACGTTTCAAAATGATGCCGAAGTAACAACATACTGATACCGGTTAGTAAAAACCATGAATTAATGCTTTGACAAGTCTGCAGACAGACGGCCTAAAAGAAAAACCTTTTAAAATGCGTGTTTTCTAAATGGAGATCGGCTAAGCTAACGTTGTATATGCTCCGACCGTCCACACTCACAACAACGGCCTACAGACATAAATAAACCAGTGACTGTACTCGCCATGACACACAGTCTGTGGTTTGTACTTGTACTTGTTTGTCTAGTTTCTGAACAGATATGAGGAGCTGTGAGCTCTGAGTGCTAACAGCTAATGTTGGTTTTGTGGTTCTCATTGAAGATGACGTCACAGCTCCGCCTACACTGCGTTACTATAGTTACTGCCCCATCTACTAAACTGTAATGGAGACGCAGCATAAAGTGAGCCAGTCCTAACAAGGCCTAGCTATACCGTACTAAGCTGTGCAGTGGAAAAGCGCCATAACACACCACACAATGCCCTGATGTCCCTGAACACACCACACACGTCTCACCTCCTCGTCTGAAGAGTCCTGTCTGTACTCGTCTTCCTTTTTCTCTTCTTCTGCTGTCAGTCCTCCCTTCTTCTTCTCTGGCTGCAGGATCTGATCATCCTTCAGATCTTCTTCTTCATGTGATCCCTCCTCCTCTCCCTCCTCTTCATCCTCGCTGTCACTCCCAGAATCCTCCAGTCCTGAGAACACGCTGTCCTCACTGTCCGACAGATCTTCATCGTCCCCCTCATCCCCCGGAGTTTTGTTGTTTAAGTTGAAGACCTGAAGAAGAAAACAGTCAATAACACTGTAAACAACAACAAACTCTAGAAAAATAGTCACCATCTGTCTGATTTATAACACACACTACAGTCACCATCTGATTTATAACACACACTACAGTCAGCATCTGATTTATAACACACACTACAGTCAGCATCTGATTTATAACACACTACATTCACCATCTGATTGATAACACACACTACAGTCACCATCTGATTTATAACACACACTAGACTAACCATCTGATTTATATCACACACTACAGTCACCATCTGATTTATATCACACACTACAGTCACCATCTGATTTATAACACACACACTACAGTCACCATCTGATTTATAACACACATACTACACTACAGTCACCATCTGATTTATATCACACACTACACTCACCATCTGATTTATAACACACACTAGTCACCATCTGATTTATAGCACACACTAGTCACCATCTGACTTATAACACACACTAGTCACCATCTGATTTATAACACACACTACAGTCAACATCTGACTTATAACACACACTACAGTCACCATCTGATTTATAACACACTACAGTCACCATCTGACTTATAACACAAACTACAGTCACCATCTGATTTATAACACACACTACAGTCACCATCTGATTTATAACACACAGTACAGTCACCATCTGATTTATAACACACACTACAGTCACCATCTGATATATAACACACACTACAGTCACCATCTGATTTATAACACACATACTACACTACAGTCACCATCTGATTTATATCACACACTACACTCACCATCTGATTTATAACACACACTACAGTCACCATCTGATTTATAGCACACACTACAGTCACCATCTGACTTATAACACACACTACAGTCATCATCTGATTTATAACACACTACAGTCACCATCTGACTTATAACACACACTAGTCACCATCTGATTTATAACACACACAACACTCACCATCTGATTTATAACACACACTACAGTCAGCATCTGATTTATAACACACACTACAGTCACCATCTGACTTATAACACACACTACAGTCACCATCTGATTTATAACACACTACAGTCACCATCTGACTTATAACACAAACTACAGTCACCATCTGATTTATAACACACACTACAGTCACCATCTTATTTATAACACACAATACAGTCACGATCTGATTTATAACACACACTACAGTCACCATCTGATTTATTGGGCTAGTTAGTGTTGTTTAGAGTAGTTAGAGAGGGCTAGTTAGTGTTGTTTAGAGTAGTTAGAGAGGGCTAGTTAGTGTTGTTTAGAGTAGTTAGAGAGGGCTAGTTAGTGTTGTTTAGAGTAGTTAGAGAACAGCTATGTTTAATCCCGTTTACAGTAGAAACCCTGAGGAGAAGCTTCTCTAAAGTTTGAGTTGGTTATTCCCTCCATGTTTACTGTGGCTAGCTGCTCTGCTACTCAACACAGATCCATCATAGTGTCTGTAAACACCACCACAACAACAACAACAACAACAACAACAACAACAACCCCTCTCTCTTATCTCTCTTATCTCTCTCACCTCCTCTTCCTCCTCTTCCTCCTCTTTGCTCCTCTTCTTCTTCTCAGTTTTCTGCACGTTCTCCATCTCCTCTGTCCGCGTGCTGCTCTCCTCCATCACAGCGCGTGGGGAGTTCCGGGGTCGAGGGTCATACGTCACATCCGGAAGGTTCGCTGGCTCGTACGTCACATCCGGAAGGTTCGCTGGTGGCGCCCTCTGGTGGCGGAACCACAGCTTTAAAGTGGAAGATAATATAATATTTACTTTATTATATTTTATATATTATATTCACAAATGAATCAATGGATTACATCTGATCTGATTGAGCTCTGTTTTATCAGCTCAGGACGTAAACAACGTAACGTGAACGACGTAACGTCAGGCAGTGGTAGCAGCCTATCACAGCAGAGGACGTCACGCGTCATCACACAGACTGTACGCAGACAGTACGCAGTTGTTTGTTAGAAGGATTAGTTGTTGTTTTCTCCGGAGAAGTTTACACTAAAACCACAATCAAACTGCTGATTAATAATCAGTGTAAACCGGCAGAGACGGACCTAAACCAGGAGCAGAACCAGAACCACTGAGACCTGGACCAGACGGAGGCTCGGATCGGACTGTTAGTGTGGAGTTAGCTCTGTTAGCTCTGTTAGCTCAGATTAGCTTGATCCTGTGATGGAGTGTCCCGGAGGAGGGGGGGCGGTGCTAGGCCCTGCTAACGTCCCGGCCTTCCTCACCAAACTGTGGACTCTGGTGGAAGATCCGGACACCGACCCGCTCATCTGCTGGAGCCCGGTACTTAGATTAGCATAGCACAGCTAGCAGAGGACAGCTGTTAGCTGCTAGCTGTTAGCTGTCAGCTGCAACAGGTTTCACACAAACTGAGCTTTCATTTAAACAGTTATATACAAGTAAATAAAGAATACTACACAAATACAATTCATACAAACACATAGGCCTATAAACATGAACAATACAAACACATGTAAACATTAAGAATACAAACACATGTAAACATTAACAATACAAACACATGTAAACATTAACAATACAAACACATGAAAACATTAACAATACAAACACATGTAAACATTAACAACACAAACACATACAAACATTAAGAATACAAACACATGTAAACATTAAGAAAACAAACACATGTAAACATTAACAATACAAACACATGTAAACATTAAGAAAACAAACACATGTAAACATTAACAATACAAACACATGTAAACATTAAGAAACCAAACACATGTAAACATTAACAACCCTTCTGTACTGTAGGTCTGAACCGTTACTGCTGTTCTACTAAAGTTCAGTACGCTGTGTGTTACCGAAGTGATTGATGTTTACTCTTTATTCTGTGTGTGTGTGTGTCTCTGTGTGTGTGTCAGAGTGGAACCAGTTTCCATGTGTTTGATCAGGGTCGTTTCTCTAAAGAAGTTCTCCCAAAGTTTTTCAAACACAACAACATGGCCAGCTTCATCCGGCAGCTCAACATGTGTGAGTACAACATTATATATTTATATAAGCTATTCACTGTTTATGGCTTTACTATGTGTGAGTACAAACTATTTCCTGTAAACAGAAAGTGTTTTTGTGATGTTCTTCAGTGTTTATATCTCTGTATCTCTGTCTGACTGTATGTCTCTGTGCTCCTGTCTGACTGTATGTCTCTGTGCTCCTGTCTGACTGTTGGTCTCTGTATCTCTGTCTGACTGTATGTCTCTGTGCTCCTGTCTGACTGTTGGTCTCTGTGCTCCTGTCTGACTGTTGGTCTCTGTATCTCTGTCTGACTGTTGGTCTCTGTATCTCTGTCTGACTGTATGTCCCTGTATCTCTGTCTGACTGTATGTCCCTGTATCTCTGTCTGTCAGACGGGTTCAGGAAGGTGGTGCACATCGAGCAGGGGGGGCTGGTGAAGCCTGAGAGAGACGACACAGAGTTCCAGCATCCCTTTTTCATCCGAGGACAGGAACACCTGCTGGAGAACATAAAGCGCAAAGTCACTACTGTACGTACAGACAGACAGACAGACAGACAGACAGACAGACAGACAGACCCCATGGCAACAGCTTGTGTCTGTGTTGTGATTGGTCCAGGTGTCGTCGGTGCGTCCGGAGGAAGTGAAGGTTTCTTCAGACGACGTCAACAAGATCCTGAGTGACGTGCAGCTGATGAAAGGGAAACAGGAGACCATCGACTCCAGGATCATCGCCATGAGACAGTAGGGATCCACACATTGCTGACCCAGGGCTAACCCATTGCTGACCCAGGGCTAACACATTGCTGACCCAGGGCTAACCCATTGCTGACCCAGGGCTAACCCATTGCTGACCCAGGGCTAACCCATTGCTGACCCAGGGCTAACCCATTGCTGACCCAGGGCTAACCCATTGCTAACCCATTGCTGACCCAGGGCTAACCCATTGCTGACCCAGGGCTAACCCATTGCTGACCCAGGGCTAACCCAGGGATTGCTGACCCAGGGCTAACCCAGGGATTGCTGACCCAGGGCTAACCCATTGCTAACTCAGGGCTGACCCAGGGCTAACCCATTGCTAACCCAGGGCTGACCCATTGCTGACCCAGGGCTAACCCATTGTTAACCCATTGCTGACCCAGGGCTAACCCATTGCTGACCCAGGGTTAACCCATTGCTGACCCATTGCTAACCCAGGGCTAACCCATTGCTGACCCAGGGCTAACCCATTGCTGGCCCAGGGCTATCCCATTGCTAACCCATTGCTGACCCAGGGCTAACCCATTGCTAACTCAGGGCTGACCCATTGCTGACCCAGGGCTAACCCATTGCTAACCCAGGGCTGACCCATTGCTGACCCAGGGCCAACCCATTGTTAACCCATTGCTGACCCAGGGCTAACCCATTGCTGACCCAGGGCTAACCCATTGCTGACCCAGGGCTAACCCATTGCTGACCCAGGGCTAACCCATTGCTGACTCAGGAATAACCCATTGCTAACCCATTGCTGACCCAGGGCTAACCCATTGTTAACCCATTGCTGACCCAGGGCTAACCCATTGCTGATCCAGGGCTAACCCATTGCTAACCCAGGGCTAACCCATTGCTGACCCAGGGCTAACCCATTGCTGACTCAGGGCTAACCCATTGCTGACTCAGGGCTAACCCATTGCTGACCCAGGGCTAACCCATTGCTAACCCAGGGCTAACCCATTGCTAACTGATAGCTAACCCAGGGCTAACCCATTGCTAACCCAGGGCTAACCTGTATGTGCAGAGGGAACGGGTTAATCCAGGTTCAGGTTCTTTATTTGTACCCGTAGGTAGATTTAGTTTGCAGAGAAAAAGACAAGGGATCCATCCTGACTCTAAGAACAAACACAAACAACAGACACAGTACAAGTACACCCTGCTCGGTCAAATCTCAAAATATTTAAAAACATTTAAGAAGGAAAACACTAGTTCAAACATGGACATTCAAAATTCATAATTAAATAAATAAATAGGCATCTGTGTGGCGCTCCTATGATGTGTTCATTTGTGCAATAGCTGCTGGGATCAAACAGTTTTTATACCGCTTCGCTCTACTCTTTGGGACGAGTAACCTCCGGCCCGAAGGAACAAGCTTCTGAGTGCAGAGGGTGGGAGTCATCGTCTAATATGGAGCTGGATAACCGCTGTCACTGCCTGAGGTACAGGGTCTCCAGGTTTAGCTGTCAATGCCTGAGGTACAGGGTCTCCAGGTTTAGCTGTCCCTGCCTGAGGTACAGGGTCTCCAGGTTTAGCTGTCAATGCCTGAGGTACAGGGTCTCCAGGTTTAGCTGTCACTGCCTGAGGTACAGGGTCTCCAGGTTTAGCTGTCACTGCCTGAGGTACAGGGTCTCCAGGTTTAGCTGTCCCTGCCTGAGGTACAGGGTCTCCAGGTTTAGCTGTCAATGCCTGAGGTACAGGGTCTCCAGGTTTAGCTGTCACTGCCTGAGGTACAGGGTCTCCTGGTTTAGCTGTCACTGCCTGAGGTACAGGGTCTCCAGGTTTAGCTGTCACTGCCTGAGGTACAGGGTCTCCAGGTTTAGCTGTCACTGCCTGAGGTACAGGGTCTCCAGGTTTAGCTGTCACTGCCTGAGGTACAGGGTCTCCAGGTTTAGCTGTCACTGCCTGAGGTACAGGGTCTCCTGGTTTAGCTGTCACTGCCTGAGGTACAGGGTCTCCAGGTTTAGCCGTCACTGCCTGAGGTACAGGGTCTCCAGGTTTAGCTGTGGCTCACCAATCAGTCAGCTGGACCACTTTACGATCTGACTCAGAGAGTTTCTGCTCTTTAAAGTCAGGTTACCAAACCATGACATTAATGTCCTGGTCCTGGTTCTGAGTTCTGGTTCTGAGTTCTGAATGTGTATTGCAGGGAGAACGAGGCTCTGTGGAGAGAGGTGGCCAGCCTGAGGCAGAAACACGTCCAACAGCAGAAAGTCGTCAACAAGGTAAAGTAAAATACACCAACACAATACGTTAGCACGTTAGCACGTTAGCATGTGATCTAAACCTCTCTGTTCCTCTGCAGCTGATCCACTTCCTGGTGTCTCTCGTCCAGTCCAACAGGGTCCTGGGAGTCAAGAGGAAAATGTGAGTTAACGTATATTGTTTATTTTATAACATTTATTTTTAATACACGTGCAATGTCCCTTCTCCAGGTGATCACAGGTGATCACAGGTGATCACAGGTGAACACAGGTGAACACAAGAGCCACGGAGAAACCTCACTTTAGCATATTAAAGAATATTCATACTGGTTTTTATAAACGTTTTAACGCTGTAAACATAAAAGTGTTATGGAGAACATAGTAATACATATTTACAGTGTATTAATACATATTTACAGTGTATTAATACATATTTACAGTGTATTAATTAGGGATGCTCCGATCGCCAATTTTGGGGCTGATCGCCGGAATCAGGATCGGCCGATACCGATACGATCGAGTGGGCGGGGCCTATGGGGATCTTCCATTTAAAGTGATGTTTAAAACTCAGTTAATGGGGCTCATTCTCTGGCGCTTCCACAAACAACAACCAACATAATTATTACATTCAAATGAAGTACATTATTAAAATGGCTAAGTGTGTTAGGTCTAACTCTTATGGCGCGTTTCCACTACAGCGCGGAGCACGGTTTAAGAGGGCTGTGACGTCAGCGGCCCGTCTTTGGTTGCGTTTCCACTTGGCCTAGTACCGGCCGGCGGGTCCTAATTCACAGTTTTTCTGGCCTCATAAAATCGTGGGTCTAGGGCCAGAGACAACGAGGCTGAGTCGGGCTGAGTATGCTAAACTAGAGAGAGCATCGCTGGCAAGGGGGCTACAACTACAACAAGATGGACATATTTGACCGTGATTTAATTGTAATACACGTTTCAAAATGATGCCGAAGTAACAACATACTGATACCGGTTAGTAAAAACCATGAATTAATGCTTTGTCAAGTCTGCAGACAGACGGCAGGGGAAAAACCTTTTAAAATGCGTGTTTTCTAAATGGAGATTGGCTAAGCTAACGCAGTATATGCTCCGACCGTCCACACTCACAACGGCCTATACAGACATAAATAAACCAGCGACTGTATTCACCATGACACAGGCAGTCTGTGGTTTGTACTTGTTTAACTTTTGTCTAGTTTCTGAACAGATATGAGGAGCTGTGAGCTCTGAGTGCTAACAGCTAACGGCTGTGTTGTTTTTCTGGGGTTCTCTGAAGATCACGTCACGGCTCCGCCTACACTGCGTTACTATAGATACTGCCCCAGTTCCTAAACTGTAATGGAAATGCGCCATAAAGTGAGCCAGTCCTAACGAGGCCCAGCCATACCGAGCGGGGCCGAGCGGGGCCGAGCGAGGCCGAGCGGGGCCGAGCGAGGCCGAGCGAGGCCGTGTAGTGGAAACGCGCCATTAGTGTGTGTTTCGCTCCGCTCACCGGTCCGTCACAGCGGGTGGAGCTGCAGGATTTCTGCTTCACACACATTTTATTGTCGTTATCCCTAGTATTAATACATATTTACAGTGTTTGTATTAATACATATTAATATTAGTATGTCTAAATGTACTTCCTGTCTGCAGTCCTCTGATGCTGAATGACTCTAGCTCCGCCCACTCCCTGCCCAAATACAGTCGGCCGTTCTCATTGGAGCAGGTAGGATTCACTGGGGGGGGGGGGTGGTGTGTGTGTGTGTGTGACCTCCCTTCACCTGCAAGGTGTGTGTTTGTGTTCTCAGGCTGCAGCCAGTCTGTTCCCAGCTGACCCCCCCCTCACCTCTGGACCAATCATCTCAGACCTCACAGATGTGGCCACGCCCCCAGCCGACAGTGTGCTCAGTGATTGGTCGGATTCAGGGTGAGAACCAATCAAATAATTCTGTTTTGACGCCTGTCGGCCAATGAGCAGCCTTCATTTCACCTCCTCAGATTGGTCCGTCACTTACAGCAAATCTTCTCCCTGTTGCAGGGAGAGCCAATCAGTGGAGGTCAAAGAGGAGCCGTCCAATCCTGTGGACTCACCTGTGGACACGCCCCTCTCCCCAACCACCTTCATCAACTCCATCCTACTGGACCACGAGCAGCCCCCCCTCAACCCCCCCAATACAGCCGGCCAATCGCCTACGTCCTCTGCCCCCCCTCCTCGGTGTCAGACGGTCGCCTGCATCGACAGGTGAGTCCCTTATATCACCTGGGGGGGTATGAAGGTAGATATGGTGCAAAATGCGAGAGCGTGTAAAACCTGATGTGAGCACTTGCAGAAAAAGAATCTGAGCTTGTGTGCATACATTTACACTTGTATAAAATATCCACGTATCTGTGAACCACATTTGAAGTCACAGAAGAAGAAAACGTTTTGTAGCTTGTAGAAAAAAAATGAACTTAGTGATGAAATGTTCACTTGCAGAAATTTTTTTTTTTTTTTAATATATTTTCCATTACTACTGCAACTTGGTTATTACAACCTCTCAAATCAGTCATTACAACTTCACGAATCTGCTCTGTGGCAGTTAGGGCTGTGCATCTTCACTGGTCTCACGATTCGATTCGATTACGATTATCCTGTCAACGATTCGATTCAATTCGATATCACGATTCATACCAATGCGTTGCATCCTCAATTTTCTATATTACTGCACATGGCTTATTTTTCATCAATGCATACATGCAGTAAATACATATGAACTCTCTTTTTATTATTTAGAAAGTGCTTCAGAAATCAATAACATAAATGTCTTGACATTAATTTATAAACCAAAATAAATTAATTGTATAGGTCTAGCCTCCCTATATCTGTGTGTGAAATTGTTCCATCCTCAAAAACAAAAAACTAATGCTTCTGCAGTCTAGCTGCAGCTTCTAGCAACGGCCTTCTGTTAAAAAAAGGACACTGAATGTCCTGAATGTGGCATCACACACAGGACTTGAGTCTGAACACAGCAGACAACAGGAGTATTTACAACAGCATATACAAACAAAAATACTGCATGTGGGTGCACACTTACATTCTCTGTCTTACTGTTACATCAATCCCATGAATGTATGAGATTAAGTTAGCTTCATCATATCTCAATCAGTGATTAAGTGAATAATAAAGTTTCTATCGGGTCACTATCAGCCTGTCACTCATTATTTTCATGGAGGGGGCGGGGTTTGGAGGAACAGAGGAGACGGTGATCGCGGAAGCTTTTTTCCTCCTGCCTTCACAAACTTTACACAAGTATATATCGTCTGAAAATTGCTAGAGGACATTCATACTCTGCAATCCAAGACTTAATTAAATCCACCAAAAACCTGACATGATTGTCACGCGATTATTTTTGAAAAACATAAATCCTTGTGTCTCTGAGCCGCAGCGACACGGAGTGATTCAGAGCGGGTCCTTCTGCTGTTGGTTCTGGACTGGTGTTCTTGTGTTGGTGGATAAAGCAGACTGCTCGTGTTTGGTGTTGCTGTGCCGCTGTCACGTCTGTTCCCTGATCTCTGCATCACCGACCGATTTGATATTTAAGTGACAGAAAAAAAAAACGTTATAGTAAAGCCGCGGCCGGAAAATCAGGAAGCAACGTTACTACGCTATAATCGATTATCTTCCGTCACTGCATTGATACCGAATCGTCCGCATCGCAATGCATCGTAGAAACGATTATTTTCAACACCCCTAGTGGCAGTATACATCCACGAATCTGCGGCCTTGACTTTTGCTACACTTCTTGCGATGAATGTGTCGCTAAAGTAATTTTCACCTGTAGATGTGGGGGGAGGGAGGGGGGTTGGAGCTAAGGGGCGGAGCTAAGGGGCGGAGCTATCACAACGAGGAGGCGCAAACTCGGGTCAGTCACAGCCATGTCAGGTCGAACCGGATGACTGCAGGGCCCCGCATGTTGCCCCTTTCACACCAACGCGGTTCCAGGACCGGTTCGGAGCTTGTGCCTGATAAGCACCGGTTTTTCCTGTTCACGCCGCAGCGGAGACGGCTCTTTTCCACGAAAACCGCATACGTCACGCTTACGTCGGAGGGGTGCGAGAATAACCTGAACTAACAGTTTATGGAGAGTAGCCTATGGCAAATAAAAGTTGAAACAAGCGGTAGCGCTGAGCAAAGTGACTAGAACGCATTTGTAAAATAAACATACTTTATAAAGTCAGGCAACACTAACCAGTAACCAGGCTTCGTGTGATTCTGTTTATTTGACCATCCGTTCGCTGTTATTGATCATTGTGGAGGGGGCAGATGTTTTGTTTTGTATTATAGCAGCTATCAGATGGAATCAATACATGGGCTGCACAGGTTGTCATGTCCGACTATCACAAGTAGAATCATAATGAAAAATACACCGGTAAAATGTGCCTGTAGAAAACGGCTTATGCCACAAGTTATAGCAACAAGCTACAAGTAGCCTAGTTAATATAGTCAGTTTAGCTTCGGTTGCTATGCTAACATCACCCATTTTATACCAGAGAAACTTTCATAACAGCGTTGTGATGCCAAACAGCGTCAATTCAGACTGACACACATTCACTTAAGGGGAATTGGGGATATGTATCAGCTGCTTGTGTGACAGTCAGACAGTGAATACTTTACAGCGGCCGCTGCTGTGAGTTAACGGGAGAATAAACTCCAGTGGACGAGCAGCACTGCAGCGGTCGGTAAATGCCGCTGTAACACATTAATAAACAATAAACCACGGCACTCTGGAGAAAAGTATAAGGTTGGAGAAGTAGTTATTTAATTTAATCTGGCTTCGTATGATTAAAAGTAACACGATCATCGACCCGTCCCCCATTGTTGTTGTTGTGAGCGAAGCACGGAGCTAGAACGGGAGCTGCGTTGGTGTGAAAGGGACAACAGTAGTCACTTGTGTGACTGACCCGAGAGCCTCGTCGTTCTGATAGCTCCGCCCCTTCGCTCCAACCCCCCTCCCTCCCCCCACATCTACAGGTGAAAATTATTTTTGCGACACATTCATCGCAAGAAGTGTAGCAAAAGTCAAGGCTGCAGATTCGTGGATGTATACTGCCACAGAGCAGATTCGTGAAGTTGTAATGACTGATTTGAGAGGTTGTAATAACCAAGTTGCAGTTGTAATGGAAAATATATTTAAAAAATATATATTTTTCTTAGGTCTGTCAAGTTAACGCGTTAATAACGCGTTAACGCAAAAAAAAAATAACGCCACTAATTATTTTAACGCGATTAACGCATGTGTATTTTTTGTCCTCGGCCGCCCCGTAGTTTCACAGCGCATCGAGTTTAAAATACCATCTACAAGCTGATGCTGACAGCCCCGCTCCTGCCGCCCTCTTGTGGCAGGCCCGGACTGGCCATCGGGAGGACCGGGAGGGTGTGTGTATGTGTGGGGCGAGCGAGGCACACCTTACGTGTTGTTGTTGTTGTTGTTGTTAGCGCAGCTAGCTAGCACCAGATGCTAACGGATATAAGGAGTTGTTTCAATGAAAACAGAGGAGCGACATTTCGCCGACAACTGCGCCGAGCACTTGACTTTATGCAGGTAGCCAGACAGTGGGACATTGTACGAAAAGTCAGCACACTCAGCACGGATAGTGCGCGCAACATGATTGCAGCGTCCAGGCTCCCGTTCAAGCATATATGCCTTGAGCTGCACATAGCTCCAACGATCCATCACAGTGTCTCCACATTCACACGCACGCACACGCACACACACACACACACACACGCACACACACACCACACACACACACGCACACACACACACCACACCACACACACACACACACACACACACACACACACAACACACACACACCACACACACACACACACAGTATTATTGTATGAGAGAGGTTCCAGGTTGAATTGAGGCAAATATTTGTAATGTTCAGGTTGTTGTGTTTAATATTCATGAGAATATTTGTCATTGTTCAAATGATAATAAACAAACATATAAAGCATATTTGTCCACTCATATGTTGATAAGAGTATTAAAAACTTGAAAAATATCCCTCTAAGGTACATTTAGAACAGATAAAAAATGTGCGATTAATTTGCGATTAACTATGGACAATCATGCGATTAAATATTTTAATCGACTGACAGCCCTAATTTTTCTGCAAGTGAACATTTCATCACTAAGTTCATTTTTTTTCTACAAGCTACAAAACTTTTTCTTCTTCTGTGACTTCAAATGTGGTTCACAGATACGTGGATATTTTATACAAGTGTAAATGTATGCACACAAGCTCAGATCTTTTTCTGCAAGTGCTCACATCAGGTTTTACACGCTCTCGCATTTTGCACCATATCTACCTTCATAGGGGGGCCTGTAGGGACATGTGACCCAGACAGAAGGGTTAGGACCCCCCCCCCCAGTGCACTGTAGATATTAATTGACCCCCCCCCCAGTGTACTGTAGATATTAATTGACCCCCCCCCGTGTACTGTAGATATTAATTGACCCCCCCCACTGTACTGTAGATATTAATTGACCCCCCAGTGTACTGTAGATATTAATTGACCCCCCCCAGTGTACTGTAGATATTAATTTACCCCCCCCAGTGTACTGTAGATATTAATTGACCCCCCCCAGTGTACTGTAGATATTAATTGACCCCCAGTGTACTGTAGATATTAATTGACCCCCCAGTGTACTGTAGATATTAATTGACCCCCCCAGTGTACTGTAGATATTAATTGACCCCCCCCCCAGTGTACTGTAGATATTAATTGACCCCCAGTGTACTGTAGATATTAATTGACCCCCCAGTGTACTGTAGATATTAATTGACCCCCCAGTGTACTGTAGATATTAATTGACCCCCCCCCCAGTGTACTGTAGATATTAATTGACCCCCCAGTGTACTGTAGATATTAATTGACCCCCCCCTGTGCTCTCAGATCCCCCCGGCCCCCCCCCTCTGCAGGTGGACTCTCACCTGACGTTTGGCGCCTCGTATCCACACGACCTGACAAGTGATTATTTACATTATTATTAGAGTCTGTGTGATGGGATGTTCTATAATACACACACACACACACACACACACACACACACACACACACACACACACACACACACACACACACACACACACACACACACACACACAGCCCCCATGTATGTTACGTCCCCACTAGGGATGAGGAAATGCAACACACACCAGTTGGAATTGGTATAATTATAATGGGTTTATTTTAAATAGCAGGGTAACAAAATGGCAGGCATGCAGCCTGGAACAAACAAAAGGCCAAAAGGGCACAGGTTGATAAATAACCAAACAAAAGGAGGACTCTAAAAAGGAGTCTAATTGCATACAGGGAAACAAATACTAATACACTAAAATAAGAACCAAAACAAAACCTCACTTTAAAAGTGGTACAACTAACAAAAGGAGCCTGTACAAAAACACAGCTAAACTAAAGGCTACAGTCACAAAATCCTAAGCTACTCTAAACACTAACTAATGGCGCATTTCCACTACACGGCCTCGCTCGGTATGGCTCGGCCTCGTTAGGACTGGCTCACTTTATGCTACGTCTCCATTACAGTTTAGGAACTGGGGTAGTATCTATAGTAACGCAGTGTAGGCGGAGCCGTGACGTCATCTTCAATGAGCACCCCAGAAAAACAACACAGCCGTTAGCTGTGAGCACTCAGAGCTCACAGCTCCTCATATATGTTCAGAAACTAGGCAAAAGTTAAACAAGTACAAACCACAGACTGCCTGTGTCATGGTGAATACAGTCGCTGCTTTATTTATGTCTGTATAGGCCGTTGTTGTGAGTGTGGACGGTCGGAGCATATACTGCGTTAGCTTAGCCAATCTCCATCTAGAAAAACACGAATTTTAAAAGGTTTTTCGCCTGCCGTCTGTCTGCAGACTTGACAAAGCATTAATTCATGGTTTTTACTAACCGGTATCAGTATGTTGTTACTTCGGCATCATTTTGAAACGTGTATTACAATTAAATCACGGTCAAATATGTTCATCTTGTTGTAGTTGTAGCCCCCTTGCCAGCGATTCTCTCTCTAGTTTAGCATATTCAGCCCGACTCAGCCCTGTTTGTTGGCCCCGATAGAACCACGATTTTGTCGGGCCAGAAAAAAGGTGAAAAAGTAGCCCCGGGCCGGAACTAGGCCTAGTGGAAACGCAACCAAAAACGGGCCCGCACGACACGGCACGACACGGCACGCTTAAACCGCGCTCCGCGCCATGGTGGAAATGCGCCATAAGCTACTCTATACTCTAACTAAGCTACTCTAGACACTACTAATACACAACATCAAACTAAGTATGGGCACACGTGTTTAACCACAGTTAGTTAGTGGTAGTGGTGGTCTAATGGATAGTGAGGTGGGCTGAAGATCGGAAGGTTGTGAGTTCAAATCCCGCCAGGAACACCACCACTAGTGTGCCCTTGAGTAAGGCACTTAGCCCTCAGTTACTCCAGGGAGAATGTCCCTGTAATTGGTCATTGTAAGTCGCTTTGGATAAAAGCGTCAGCTAAATGAAATGTAATGTAACAGAATTATCTAAGGAGCAAGTAGCGAGAGGCGTCTGTTCACATGTCGGAGCCTCCAGAGTGATCGTCAGCCACAGGCTTTGAAGTCATCTCCAGCAGGTGTGCGCCGGATGTGCGCTTGGATTGGAGCACGTCGGGCCCGACAAGCTCCAATCACAATCCTCGAAGGCGGACCAGCAGATGGCAGCCAATGACATCAGGGGAGCCGCACAGTTCATTTGCATAAGAACACAGGCTAACACAGTTAAGACGACCAGGAAGGCGTAACATTTGTCTCATCACGTGGACAGTATTGACAGTTTAGACGTGACTCTGTGTTTCAGGTGTGAGTTGTCTCACCACGTGGACAGTATTGACAGTTTAGACGTGACTCTGTGTTTCAGGTGTGAGTTGTCTCACCACGTGGACAGTATTGACAGTTTAGACGTGACTCTGTGTTTCAGGTGTGAGTTGTCTCACCACGTGGACAGTATTGACAGTTTAGACGTGACTCTGTGTTTCAGGTGTGAGTTGTCTCACCACGTGGACAGTATTGACAGCGGTCTCCAGAGTCTCCTGAACTCTCAGGCTCTGAACTTTGACCCGTCTCCGCTGATGGAGGTGAGTCTGCTTCAGATCCACTAACTGTAACCTTCATCATTACCTCATCCTCACTGTGTGTGTGTGTGTGTGTGTGTGTGTGTGTGTGTGTGTGTGTGTGTGTGTGTGTGTGTGTGTGTGTGTGTGTGTGTGTGTGTGTTGTGTGTGTGTGTGTGGTGTGTGTGTGTGTGTGTGTGTGTGTGTGTGTGTGTGTGTGTGTGTGTGTGTGTGTGTGTGTGTGTGTGTGTGTGTGTGTGTGTGTGTGTGTGTGTGTGTGTGTGTGTGTGTGTGTGTGTGTGTGTGTTGTGTGTGTGTGTGTGTGTGTGTGTGTGTGTGTGTGTGTGTGTGTGTGTGTGTGTGTGTAGTTCTTCAGCTCGCCCTGCCCCTCGGGAGACTTCGACCTCGACAGTTTGGACACTGTGAGTTTATTTTACTTCCTGAGGATTTTAACAATTGATTAAATCTATGAACACACACTGATGTAATGGGAGGTAAAAATCAGCTGTTTGTGTTTCCTGTTAGCTGCTGTCTGACGACGCTCCCAACGGAGGAGAGGAGAGCATCTACACAGGTAACTCACACTCACACACACACACTAACACACACACACACACGGAGGTAACACACTCACATACACACACAGGTAACACACTCACACACAGAGGTAACACACACTCACACACATCTATTTTGTATTTATATTTCAGTAAGTGTAGTGTGTGGTGTTTGTAGTGGTAGTAGACATGTGACTCTTTGCTGCTCTCTGATTGGTGCAGGGAGGCAGCTGGTGCAGTACACAGGGGAAGGGGGCGGGGCCTACCTGCCCTCGCTGCTGGAGCTGGAGGCGGAGCCTTTCTTCATCTCTGATCCCCCCACTGATGACCCCGCCTCCACCCTGCTAAGCCCCGCCCACCTGGACTCTGACCTCTGACCTCACCCGTCACCTTGGCGACAGCTTCTTCTTCTTCTACTGTTTCCCTTTAGATCCACGGTCCAATCAGAAACAGGCCTCAACATGTGACTGGGGTTTTCTGCATGTTTGTCTTTTGTGTAAAATATATAAACTGAAGAGTCGGAATATTTTTTGAGAAGTTTATCAAATTAATCTGTGATATAATATCAGTGTGTGACGTCATCAGTGTGTGACGTCATCAGTGTGTGACGTGTCAGCTGTTTCTCTGCTGTTTCAAACTCTAATAAACTCTCTTTTATAAACTCTCTGTGACGGGGTTCTATTTGTCCGTTTGAAACATAGGCTTAGTCGGTTGATTTAAGCTCCAAAACTTTAAAAAATGTATAACAGCAACAAAAATATATATACTGTTTGATAAAAGTGAAACAGTATAACTTAAATAAACAAAATCAAAGTTACCAAAGGAGGTTGTCTATCACTCATGGAGTAAACACATTCCAGCTGTTGCCTTCACTGCAACCATCTCCTGAATGACTCTTCCAGGGCCAACACCGTCCCTTTTGAACCCATAGCCCCTCCCCACAGGCTTTCCGTCAACAAGTTACACAATTAACTCAAAACCACATTGTCAACATAAATGTAATCCCTCAAACATGAGAAAACTATCCGACCCAAACAGGTTAACTACCTCTTAACACAATCATTCCCCATAATTAATAAACGCAAAAGAAATAATAAATTGCATGTTTCATGATATCCTATTTAAACCACGGAAGTGATGCGCCTCCGTCTTTTCCACATTCCCTTTGCTGGGGAGACGGCGGCGAAACTCAGTTTGCTGCTCGTCACGTAAGTATCGTGTAATATAGTTAAATGTATGTTTAAATAATTGTAGACTCACAAGCGTGCACTCATGGTCGCGCTACAGGAAGGGAGGGGAAAAAGGGACGTTTTAGTGATGATTTAACCTTATTTATTGACGAACGGAAGAAAGCAGGAAATGTTTGGTGTGTGTCTGTCTGTCGCCGCTGTCAGTGGCGGAGTCAGTCACTCTGTGATCCGCTCCATCACATAAACTCTTATAAACTACACACATTTATAAACTCTCTCTTATAAACTACACACCTTTATAAACTCTCTTTTATAAATTACCCAGTTTAAAGGGGACCTATCATGCAAAATGCACTTTTGTACGTCTTTTATACATGAATATGTGTCCCCGGTGTTCCAGGGAACTCACCAAGTGTCAGAAAACACAACCCTCTCTATTTTCCTCCATACCCAAATCTCTAAAAAAGGGGCTGCAACGGATCTGATAAAAAGTTGATCCAGATTTGAACACTGTCCTGACGTCAGGACGGTGGCGATACGGCTATTGGGCCAACTCTCCACCTATCAGGGGAATGTGGGGTTGGGCCACGGCCGGCCATTGCCGCTCGAAAGCGCTGGAGACGCTGTAGTACATATGCCAGGCCTGTAAGTGGCGCTGTAGTCTGCCACAAAAGCAGCGAAGAAGACTTCCCGCCCATAGTTACCATGGTTACCCTTCTGTTTATTCTCCGCTGTGGCTTTTTTTCTCCCTCCCCGAGGCAAGCGTTTGCTCCCGCTGCTTTAATTCAATGCAATCCCTCCCCGTCGAGGCAAGCACTGTAATTCTCTCGGGTTAGTCCACAAGCAGATGACAAACACCCACCTCTCCGCCTCTTCCAAGGAACGAGGGGACCGTGCGGCAGAGTTTCAGTTTCAGTTTCTTTCGCCGGTCAAGATGTCCGTTAAAGTTTAAATCTTCCGGACAAAATTAGAAAAGTGCCGGTCAAAGGTCTTCTTTGTTATTTATTGAGCTTTGAAACAAATGAATAACGACTCTATATAATAAAACACGGAGGACGGAGATCTCTTTTTCTCCCCCTCTTCTAACAGCCCAGCAGCTGAACAGAGCACGGCTCCCCTCTCCTGCAGGGGGGCGTGATCAGCAGAATCAGACCCGTAGACAGCAAACAGCACATAGAGTGAAATGAGGCATGGCTAAAATGCATGATCTGTTTGGTATTTTGAAAACAGAAACGTATAAATATACCTTATATAGGTATGGCCCTACAATATATCATTTAAATATAGCATGATAGGTGTCCTTTAAACAAAATACCATTTCTCATTGTGATGTTCAAAATAGACAAAACTTTATTGTATAGTTGACATTGCTGACGTTGAAGATGATGTCACATCCTGTGTGATGTCATCAGGTAACACCTCTTCAGGTATTAAACTCATTTATCTAACATGAACGTCTATGAACAAAACTTAAATACAAAAACACCAATGGGGCGCTGGTCCACAGGGGGCGGGGCTACTCCTAGTGGGAGGGGTCTGACTTCCTGGGCCATGCTGATTGGTCGGTACATTGGAATCGGTAGCGCAGGAATCGAACTCGCGGCTTGATGTGGAAGTCAGCAGGTATCCTCCAGTTCCACATTTTCTGCACCTGGAACAAAAAGATTCAACTTTTAAAACTGACAGGAAATCCACAAGAAGAATTCAGTCCTTCAACAGAGTTTAAACCTTGATTAATCATCAGAGCTTCGACACCAATAAAGAAGAATTCACCCGCACACTGCTGCGGTGCCTGGGTCACGCTAAATGCTAAATGCTAACCTGAAGGGTTCCCAGAGAGGAACTGTTGTCTTCATCATGAAACACAAATATGCGCTAAAAAAAAAGCAGCGTGA